CTCTCTCTCTCTCTCTTTCTGCTTCTTCATCAATTTATATTAAATTCAGCGTTTATTTCCTAGTGCATGGAATTTCGATTGAAAACCGAACCCCCGAAGGAAAATCGTTCTCTCTTTCATAAGCGAAATATTGCACTCATTTCAGCCACATTTTGTGAGACTTTAAATCCACTTGTTCATACATCGAAGATTTGGAAAAAGAGCACGACTCCTCGCGTAAGATCGAAGCGGGACTGTGTAAAATGAAAAATTTCCTCACGAGACTCAGCCCTGCCGAGAAGATTAATGCTGAAGATTGATGAATCAATAATATCTCATGCGACGAGTCTTAAGAACGCGATAAGGGTTTACGTGGTCGTTAAATCTATACTTTACGACAAACGACATTCGTATTCAGCAGATTCCACAAGTTTGCCTAAGTACAACGATGTTATTGCGCCATCGTGAAGACTATTAAACTTTGTACATCCGCTTGCCTGTTTAAGGTTTCACCGCCGTAGAATACGGAGGATACGCGCTTACGGCTCCGCCTCACACGCGAGGCCATCACGAGGAGATCACGCGTACTCGCAACTTGGCTGGCGCAATTTCGTACGGCCTGAACTTCGGGGCGAAGCTTCAAGCTGTGTACATACATACACACACACATCGGCCCCAATATCTAAACACTCCATTGAGAAATAATAAATTAAATTGCCGCAGCCACGGAGGCCTCGGGTCACTCGACTGAAGCGTAACACGCGCGCCTTAGCAGGTGCCAACAATGTGTGCGTGATGGAACCTTTCAACATCGACGATGGATTTACGTGAGGCTCGTTACGCGAATACCGTATAGTTTACGCTGTCGTGTTATCAATCGTCCGCGCCGATGTCGGCGAACAAAATGCTCCGCCGGAGCTTCGTGACGCGAAATATTGCCGATTCGCGAACGATTTATCGTCAATGGCCGTGGTAAATGCTTATAATGATACCTTAATTTTAATACGTAAATAATGATATCTACTCTGCCGTTATGCGGAGAAACGAGAGGGCGAGAAACGATCGCGAGTTAAGTGTACCTTGGACGGACGCGCCGTGCGGCGCGAAACATACGCGTAAAGTGTGATAAACTAAATTTTCGAAACGCGTAAAGTGTGACAATTTCTCTGAAAATCCAATACAATAAAATCTTGAGAGTGTAATCAAAATAACAACCAGAAAAAATACTCCCGTAAGCAAACCCAAGGAATATAAATTTTGCAGAGAAGAAAATTTTGAGCTATCTTTGTTATACAGTGTCCCATTTTAATGTCCCACCCCAAATAACTCTTCAGTATTGAAGTTTCAAAGAAAATGATCTGAATAAAAGTTGTAGGGATTTAAGTGAGCTACCTTATGATGACCTTGACCTCTATTTTCAAGGTCATTTGAAGGTCAACTTGCGTTTTTTAAATGGAAACTCTTATTTTTTATTACACTGTTTTTTTCTACTAGTTAATTTGAACAACTCTTGTCTAAAACATTTTTTTATTTGTTTAATATTTTTTGAGATATTCGAGGAAAACTTGATAACTTTTTCAATATTTAACTTACGATATCTCGCTAATTATTTGTCGGAAGAAAAAGTGGTACTAGACTTTCCTGCTTTATTTAGTCTCAAGAATATATTGTTAGAATAGTACCCTGATTTTTGTTAATTTGATAATTTTGAAATTTCCAAAAATCAGTAAGTTAACAAAAGTCAAGGCGCTATTGTAACAATATATTGTTACACTCACGCCAACACTCACACTTGCACACGGGTAAATGAAAACACTCGTGAAAGAATAAGGGGAAAGAATAAATTATTGGTTAGAGTAATAAGTTACAAGTAACAAATCATTCGTTACCACAACGGAGTCATTTGCTGTCCCAGATTAACAACAAGCCATTTGTTGCGGATACTGATGTTTTGTCGACCCAATAATATAAAAAGTTTTTTGCTCTATGTATGTGTGAACTGAAGCTGATGAGTCCCGATTGAAACGAAAAATTCTACTTTTCGATTATCTTCGATTTATCCTTACACGAGAAATCATGCTCTCTTTCGAAATATTATATCTACCTCTATCTCGTACATAAAAGACACCGTGCGTTTCCTTTTTTTCCGCTTTCCCTGTTGGAGTCGGATCACAAACGTCCGCAGCTCTGCCGCAGTAAAGTGTAACGTGTATTAGTTTGTAAAAAAACACCTATTGCTAAAGCTGTAATATTGGACGCGGAAAAAGATTGTCTCATTATTACTTTAGCGACAGAGTTAATTTCAACTACCGCACACGCACGCGCGCGACCATGCATCATGACGTGAATCGCTTTTACGCTTTTGCACCTTCGCATCTGGAAAGGTAACACCGGGAAAATATCCGGGACAAAACTTTCCCTAAACTTTCCTAAACGGAGGAAGACCGACGGCCTTTTTATTGTAATTCCAAGGCTGATCTGTGCCGCGCCATGCAATTTCTGCGTTTACGGCAGAGATCGCGTTCGTTGCAGCTTTTATTGTTCTTTACGACAACTCCGTCCTTTAAATAAAGATTTCTCCTTCGAGAGCTATACAGTTCCTATTTCCGCCCGATCGTTCCAGTCCGGAAGCCAAGCATCCTAAATTCTAGAAGTTCTCGAGAACTTTGTAGTTGGAGTGCATTACAGCGAAAAACTTTTCCCACATTACGCACGCGCGCGCGCGCGCTTGAATGTTCTTCTCAATTTCAAAGTCCTAGAATCTTTTCTCTTAAAAGAGAAAGAAAGAAAGCTCCGCATATTTCATAAATAATCGTTGATGTCGCAAATTATGTCTGCTTGTGCATCAACATTTAATCACTGTGTATTATTAATCGCATTATCTACACCCCGAAGCGTCTGTATCTCAACTTTATTCTCATTGCGTACGTTATTAGGAAAGTTTCGTCCGTTTTTTTGCAAAACGTATGGCTTTATTTAAAAAACAAAATGAAAAAGTACATCAATCAAAATATTATCCATCGTTAGCGATGACTTTTTTCCATCTTTCGGTCAACAAGCGAATTCCGTGGCGAAAGAATGACTCATCTTTGGAGGCTATTCAGTTAAAGACCCATTTTTCGACGTCTTCATAAGAATTGAAGCATTCGTCAGCAAGTGCGTGTGCCATCGAGCGAAACAAGTGGTAGTCGGAAAGGGCACGATCTGGTGAATAAGCCGTATGGGGTAACATTTTCCAACGAAGTGCTTCTAATGTTTCTTTGACAGATTTTTGACGTGAGGCCGAGCGTTGTCATGAAACAAAATCACTGTTTATGGTGTCTCGTTTCATATTCTAGTCGTTTTTCGTGCAATGCTCGACTCAAACGGATCATTTGTTCTCTGTAGAGATCTCCTGTGACTGTTTGACCACTTTTCAACAGCTCATGGTACAGCACATCCTTCTGATCCCACCAAATACAGAGCATTGCCTTCTTTCCGTGGATATTCCGCTTTGGCGTCGATGTTGAGGGTTGGCCGGGATTGCAAATAGTTTTTCGACGTTTGGGGTTGTCAAAATAAATCCATTTTTCATCCCCCCTTCCCCCAAGTGATGATACGATGTAAAAACCCCTTTCTTCGTTGCCTAGCAAGCAGAATTTCGCAGGTGGTTTTTCGCCTTTCAATGTCTCTTGGCTTCAGTTCATATCGGACCTATTTCACTTCCTTGTAAACCTTTCCTAAGGGTTTAAAACAGATCGGAAATAATAGATTGAACACAATTTAATACTTCTGCAAGTTACTTTTGCGTTTGACATGGGTCTTCGTCTACGAATACCTGCAATTCTTCGTCTTCGAATACTCTTGGCCGTCCAGAACGCTCTTTGTCCTTTACGTCAAAATCACCAATTTTAAAGCGTCGAAACCATTCTCTGCATGTTTTATCGGAAGGAGCATTATCACCATAAACTTCTACAAGCATTCGATGAGCTTCAGCTGCAGTTTTCTTCCAATTGAAGCAAAAGATTAACACTTCGCGCAAATGACGCTTATTTGGCTCAAATTTCGACATTTTCGTTGCAGTGAAAAACAATGTTATTGATGCAAACGCATACCTTTATGTACTGAATGTTATGACAGATGTCAAAACAAGCTATTAAGCTTCGTTTAGACATTACAGGTTAACGACAGTTCTAGCTATAGCTATTTGCCGCTAAATGGACGGAACTTTCCGATTTACCTAATAGTTAGTAGTTAATTGGAATATAATGAGCTGGTTATAAAAAAGACGCGGCACTATCCGCGACTTACAAAGGGAACGAAATAATATATATGTAACAAATAAATTTATGTATAATTTATATTAAGTCTAATAGTTAATTCTTCCCGATAAAATTTATATAGCTCAGAGCAAAATTTGAAATTGAAATATTCTCTCTTCCTTTTGCGATTTTAAAATGTTGACATTTAACTTTTCGAAATGACATATGGTTTTGGCATTTAATGCACATAAACTCAAATAATCAGTCGCGTTCACGATAACTATCAATAAACTATCAATAAAGAGCGCTATCTATAAGAGCGATAGCTATCAATATTCGATACGCGACTATGAAATAATGTGTAATCTGAAGATGTTAATTGAGAGACGAAAAAAAATTTGCAAATCCGGAGTGCCAGTTGATGAAGCTCAAATTCGGCCAGAGAACCCGCGTTTTTAGGAGTCTTCAAATTACATCGCATGCGCGTATTCGTTTGCTTGTATTCGTAACATTCTTGTGTTTGTAACATTTCAACAGTATATTAAAAATTTCATTGCATCTAGTGTAGTCAATTTTTTTCCATTTTATGTTTCATATTTTTCCTATCGTCGATTAATTAAGTCAGAATTTTCAGATTCTGTTAGGATTCTCGCAATGACGCAAAGTTGTAAGAGCTCCAAAAAAAACACATCAATTAAACAGAAGCATTTAAATTTCTAATGGTTTCTCGAACATCCTTCAGGATTCTCCCTCGGGGCACTTTTGAATTAATAAGATACATCCAGAGAAACGTAAATCTTTACTAATGTAATGCTGGTCAATTTGCTTCGCTCTTTTTCTTTTATATTATACATATATACATGGACTTAACTTATGTAAATTATAAATTAAGTAAAGGACGATGATACACACTCACGCGCGCGCATACGCATATATCAGAGAGTCGCGCTTCGGAATAGAACTTCTCGGAGGGAATGCGAGTCACAACTATGAACTTTTGTTTACGCAATTACTGAGACTCTCGCTTCTAGATGACCGTTCCTAAATTAAGAAGAACGAGACAAGATATCTAAAGCAAGGTAATTAGCAAGTCGCGCGACGTAATATCGCGCTCCTTTGACGCATATATTCCTATATACGAGCTTCGCTCGTATTTATGTCGCTGCATCGACACTCTGTTACATTATAGAGTAATCTCTTTGAAAGGATCCACAAGTACATTGTGAGCAAGATATATTCTTTGATGAGTCCTCGAAGTACCAAGAATCTCTGGGAGACATATTTAATCGTAAAAGTATTTAACATTGGCGGTAATGGAGTATTTGTAAACATTCAATGAGTACAAATATGAGATAAAAATATATTGAATGTTTATAAGTATATATACAAAACGATAACGGTATAATCGTCGATGGGATGATGTCTCGTGCAAAAATAAAAATTCGAATTGTAGAATAATCCTCAGAAACAAGGCATTGTTTGCAAGAAAGGCTACTTTCAAATTGAAAAATTGGATTTTGAAATTAGAATAATGTTAAATACAAATTTATTCATCCTCATATCGAATAAATTTTAAACATAATTCTGCCATTATGTTAGATAAGCATTTGTTTATATTATATAAATTATATTGTTTCTCCTTTCTTAAACTTTTATTTTATAACTTGTTTATCATGATTTTTCTTTCAAAAATTATATCAAAAGGCACATACATCTTTCTTCCGTAACTGTAAAATAGTCCACTGTAATCCGCAAAGTGGGTAAAGTGTTCATTTCCCTTTTCTATTGTAACAGTTTATATGTCTAGCGGAAAATGCTACATTTTTGCATATCTTGTTATTATATATAAAAAAATAATAAAGCCACTTTCGAATAATAAAATTCCATATTTACATGATTTACTTATAGAACACCAAAATTATAATATATTCAAGCGCGTTATTAAAACGAAAAAGTCTATAATAAAGTCGACATATAATCGATCGACGATTAAATGTTTACGTTCAAAATATTCCAACTATTCTGAGTATTCTAATACCAAGTAACTTTTTAATTACTGTTAAAATCAAACTTTCCTCAACTTCGTACAAAATTTAAATTCTTTTAACTTGATATTCCTGATTGTTTCAAGAAATAAGATCTGCAGGATGAAATAATAAAAAATTTACATTAGGACAATTCATGAAACTTCAAAGTAATAAAGGCAAGATATAATTCAATATATTATAAATACTCTGAAATATTTGTTATAATGAAACAAAAACTAAAAAGTAATGTCGAGCTAAATCGTGTCAAAAATATTATCACGTTTTACATATCACCACAATTTACGAATCTTATGGGCAAAATAATAATAAAAAAATATCATAAATGTTAGTTTTCTCTCTCTCCCTTTCTCTTTCTCCCTCCTCCCTTTCTTTATCTGTCTTTTTCTCGTGTCGATAACCTTAATCGTTAATAGAAAACGATTACTTTTCATGATGTCCGTGACACATGAAAAAGTACGCTGTTACAGTACTAGCTGCATTTCGAATTCCTGAAAATCGTCTCAAATATCATTATTATAAGACGAGCTGCAGTGATATACGCAGCACGATATTCATTGTTATCGTATTGTTTGAGACATGTGCAGTGGCGTTAACATCAGCTCAAAAGCAGCGTCTTTTAGATTCGCACCGCGCAAATTCGCGTCCTGAAGATCGGAGCCGGATAAGTCACAACACTGAAAAAAGAAGATTATGTCAACACTGAAGCTAGCAAGGCAACATGTGTAAAATAATGATTGGTACCTCTAAATCGGCGCCAGCCAAAACAGCGGATCTCAAATCGCAATTCCTAAGATTAGCATTTTTTAATGTGGCTACTCGGAGATTTACGGCAGCCATGTTGCTGCCTTCGAGATTAGCACCCTTCAAATTTACACCCTCCATATTCGCTGACAGACCGCCAGGATCCTCGAAATTACACGAGTGTAAATTCGCTGCAGCTAAATTCGCGCACAACATCTTCACGCACACGAGCTGCGCACCTTGCAGATTAGCATGAGATAAATCAGCGCGCTCGAAACAACATCCTGACAAGTTAGCGCCCACCAGACTGCAATGATGCATAACAGCGTACTGCAATCGAGAAACATATAAATATAAACCCATCCAACTAGCGTTATCTTTAAGCGAGTTGAAGCCGTACATGCAACACTGAACTGTTACACATTTACTTTAAAATTAATATTCCTGAGATCTAGCTTCGAAAGATCGGCTCCTACAAAGTCGACTCCCTGAAACCTAAGTTCTGCGTTAGTCGGTGTCGACATGATTGCTTTAAGTACATCCTTGCGAGTTAGAGATATAAGACCATCTTTCTGCAACTCTTCCTTTTCCACCATTGTAGTGAGAATTCGAATGGCTCCTTCAATGCCATAAAAACGTGCCTCCGCCAATACACCTAAATCAGAATGTTAGTTTTATTATGATAAACAGATACCTTGCATCATACTAACAAAAGAAATTTAGGAATATATACCAGCCACATTAACATTAGAATCGAGTATCACCTGACCATGCCTCAAGTAATTTAATAATGGTTCAAAATAAGTGGGACTTCTGTCTATTAAATATGCTCCCTGATAATCTCGTCTGCTTGGCTGCATTGCATGCTCTGCATCTTCAGGCTCTGTAAACATCCTACGTATAACGTTTTTACATTATTATTATATCATTTTAATACAGAACAAATATTCTTTCTCACTCCCTCTCTATTTATCATTCATCAATTTTAACAATTACACTCTATATTTTATCCTGATTTTAATGAAACTTCTTCAATAATGATTCTTCAAGAAATATGCAATTTTTGTTTGAATTCAATATTAATATCAAGCTTAGTTATTCAATATAAACAAAAAATAATAATCAGAGACAGCTTACCTTGCTAGCATACTCATAGGTTCTTTCTTTGTTAAAGTATCCCTAGTTGTGGTAAAATATTTTCCACCTACGTTTAGTGTGATCCATTCTGAATTTCTATTTAACTGATTATGGTTACATATTTTATCCTTGTGTATAAAATCTTCTCCGCTTGAAACATACAAAATGTCATCATCTCTAGGAAAAAGAAAGCAACCTGTTAATGTTATTTAATAGTTGTTGATCAAAGTAAAATATCAAATATAATATGTTCAAGTAATATTTTTGTGATGAAGAAAAATTAAATATGATAGATATTAAGGAATATATCTAAATAAAATATTTTCGCAAATAATTGATAAATAAACAAGTGTTTTACCTTATCAGCTTGATATCATCAATTTCTCCACCTTGGGGTGTAAAGATTCTCTTTGCAGTTATCTCAAATTTTGCACTAGCTGCTGTCAATAATTCGTCTAATGAATGAGTCACCACAAACACCTGTCAAAAAGAACACATATAATGAAATATGAATAAACTATCTTACATTAAATATTACGATAATAACGAGCATTATGTATGAACAATATAACGAAAGTTTAATCACCAAGAAATATATACGATCGAAAGATACTCTAATACAAATATTTATTTTGCAAATAATAAAATAATAATAAAACACAGGATCAAATGCAATTTATTACGGACAATACATGAGACCACCTTGCCGTTGACATCGGTTCCATTCACAAATATGATGACTCTCTTCATAATTGTATCCCGACCAAATTCTCTTGATATATGAAGTTTATAACTAGCATGGACGGAAAACACTATCAAGAATAAACCCAAGTCGATAGCTGGCTATAACAAGTCTAGCCACTAACTTTGCATCCAGCATAGTCAAATACGATACAAAATATATGCTTATAGTGTGGACAGGTGGGGACAGGCGGTAATCGACCGATGACTCGATGTTCGATTCTTCTCTTGTTAAAGAATCGATTATCATCTCAATATTTTCAAATTTAATTACCAGTCTTTTGTTGGACCCCAGGCCGTTGGATGTGGTTTTGGTTTTGATGTAGTTACAAAACTACGCGTAATTTTTTTAATATTGAGGACTGCGTGCGCGGGGTCCCTGTTTGTATCACACTTCTTTGCAACATTCTAATTCCTATTTTCATACTTTTCGTTAAATGGCATTGGGGCGAAACCTTAACCGGTGCCTGTAGCCAGAATTGAGAGAGAGAAAATTTAATTGCCGGGTGCCGGGAGCTAATATTGAGAGAAATTTAATTGCGTGTCATACACACACACACACACAGAAGTCTTATTTAATAATATATTTCACTAAATGTTTATTAAATTTTATTGTTAAACTTTACTAAATATATAATTTCTGTAATATAAGAATAAAATGTTCGTATGAGCTACTTTACTCAAAATAAAGGATTTTTAGCTCTTACAACGTCCTAATATTAAATTATAGTACCAAAAAAATGAAATTCGAGTGGGGAAAACTCGTAGGCAATTCATATCAAATATCTCCGTATATTAAAATAACACTCCATATATTAAAATAGATATTTAATACTGATATATGACAATTATAAATATAATAATTAAATTTTAAAATAAAATTTTCTTATTATATATATTTCTTTATTTTCATAAAAATCTATTTAATACACCATAATCGTTCTGATTTTGCGACTTCTTTGATGTCACTTCTTCTTTCGTTTTTACTTCTTTCGCTTTCACTTCACGAAGCTCTTTGATCATTTCCTGAGAATAATATCAATTTGTAAAATCATATCCCGCTTTATAAATATTAAAAATAAATTGTGACTCATATGCAAAATACTTACTTTATGATTTAAGTCTTTTAATATCTTCTTGGTTTTTATTATCTTTGCAGTACCACCCTTTCCCTTAGCTCTTGTGTGTCGAGGTTTGAAGTCTATCGGCTTTGGTTTAATATACTTGAAAAATAAGTTACGATCGTTAAAATATTTACTTGGTGAATTCGATGGCTATAAAGACATAATTATAAAATGAAATTATCTGTATTTTAATGTATTTTTTCTTACCGAAAGGTTCTTCTTTGCTTCTACTTTGTCTTTCAAAGTAGGTACATCAACCTCCGTTATATCAGTCGAGTCAAGAGTAATAAACTCCGGTTGTATTTTCTCTAAAAGTGTTTTCACCTCCGTTTCTCGTCGCTGCTGTTTATTTTGGAATGGATTAACCTCAAACGCGTCATAGTTCGCTTCAGCACTTCCTGGTACTAGCAGTGACGAGAATTCATTAGCCGTAGAAATACCTAGTACATCTTCATATGGACAAAACCTTGTGCAACACACATTACGTGCAGTCTTATGCCGTATATATGGCTTAAGGTCACCTGAAGTTTCTCTGGTAAAAATAGATATTAAGTTTACAAATAATTCATCAATTATGTTCAACTTAGTTGATTAAAGTATTACCTAAATACTTCCACTACATTACCCATCGCAAAAGCCAGCAGACCACACTGACTGTAAGACATACGGAAAGCAGGGGAACGAAGAAACATATGACTGACTGGTCCTGCTAATTGTCTTATATCCCATAATTTAACAGATTTATCAGCACAACTTGTTGCCATGTAAGTTCCATATGGATGTACAATACATGTCATGATTGGGAATCGATGGCAGAGCATTTTTGCCAATGGTTTATGTTCATTTGGAGACCACATGGACACTACTCCCTTTGAGTCTCCCACACATAGGACTGCATTACTTGGGTTTTGTGTCATGACCTATCATGAATCAATAACTTTTGATAAATATTTAAAATATCATAATTGAAATTAAACTGATTTTTTAAAAACTTACAGATATCCTTCCAACATTTGTATTAAAACGAGCGATAAGCTTGCCTATCGACACATCCAACCAAGCTACATTACCATCCTTGGATCCACTGGCAAGCAAGAAATGATAAGGCAAAAATTCCAATCTGGTTACACCATTCATTCTCTTCAAACAATGCAATTCTACTCCCTGATTGTCATAAACATAAACCCAATCCTTTTGTGCTACTGCAAACATAGTTTCCTGGTGTAACCATGTGACATCATGCACAGATTCCATTACATTTATTTCACAGGCCATTCTCTTAGTCACCCAGTCAAAAGCTGCAACATGACCTTGTTTCCCACCCAGAAGTAAGTGCCTGCCATTTCTAGTATATCTAAAGCAATAGGGGCCAAATTGCAAATCTAGTTTGAATCTTTTGGCCGCACTTGTTATATCTACATTGTCTACAATTTGTTTTTGTCGATATGCAGTAGTGGTTTCTCCAGCTTCAGCTTCTAAAAAACCATGTTCTTCTGTCAGTAATAACTCGTTCCGAGCAGAAGCTTCAGCTGCTTTCAGTATAGCTTGTTCTTTCTTCTTCAGCTTTGTCCTGATTACTTTATTTTTGACTGTAGTTGTTTTTCGTTTCAAGTCAATGCCAGGACCTTTCGAGTGTTTTTCTAAGGCTTCCTTATTTACCGGTGCCTTCCCACGGTAATGATCATTCGCTAAAAGTGGAATTAAAATCACGAATCACAACAGTTTAAAATTATTTTTATATTCTGCTTCAATTCCTCCTACCTGGTCGATTCATTGTCGTTCTTTTTGACTTCTCTTGATGTAAACGAATTTAACCTCTCACACACCATGTGAATCCCTACTGGGCTGCATTCCGTATGCCGGAGCAGCCGGAGTTTCGTCTGGACGAAGCGTGACGTCACGCATCGAGTTGGCCGTTGGTCTGTTCTTTTTAGCTGCACTTAGACATGTTTATCGACATTCGAAATTATCGAATATTCGATATTATTTTTATTTCGATATACAAATATCGGATAGAATAAATATGGAATAAAAAATCGAATAAATATATTTTTTCAGCGTATATTTATTGAATATTTTTTTAAAAGTGATTTTTTTTAATATAAAGCTAAAATTAGTAGCACACGGTGCTTGTTTTCATGTTAGTTTCAGTGACATACTAGAAATGTTACATTCTGATTGGCTGCGTTCAGCAGAACAAAGTGATCAGTGAGCACTTAGTGATTCTCACTCCTGATTGGTAAATACTTCTGGCTCTATGAAGAATTTAAATGAATGCTCCAATCACAGACAATAATCATTAAGCGCTCACTGATCATTTTGTTCTGCTGAACGCAGCCAATATTACATATAACATGCATGTTAGTAGTAATTTCCTATTCAACAATAACAGTTATATTGTTAAGTAGAAAATTACAACTAACATGTACGTTACATGTAATATTAGGCCTGTTCGTTTTGTCTGCACTGTTGAACTGGTGCAACAAGTTGAAGTGAGAAAACCTACGTTTATCTCACTTTAACTTAATGTATCAGTTCAGCAGTGCAGATAAAACGAACAGGCTTATTGTGTTTGCTGGGTTCTTATTGGCTACCGAATTATTCGATATTTATTCGATATTTTGATTGCTTATTCGATATCGATATGAGTACTTTTAAATTTGGCGAATATATTCAAATGCGATATTTTTTTTCGATATCGACATCTCTAGCTGCACTGCGGAACTAGTGCAATAAGTAAAGCCAGCGGCACACGGTGCTCGTTTTTGTACTGGATTGCTTGCTGGATGAAAATGCGTTCTGATTGGCGCATTTCCATCCATCTTCGGAACCCTATTCCTGCGGAGGGGGATACACCCCCACCACAGTGATAGGCCCCCAATCAACTGCCACGTAGGAGTCCCCCTTTGCCCTGAGTTTACAGGGGGGGACCCCTTCACGGGACTGGCCACCATAGCTACGGAGCCGCACCGGCTCCCGAACCAGCTAGCGCTGTTGATCAGGATCCAGTGCGGCTCCGTTGCCAACCCCAGCCCGGTGCTCAGCTCGTTGATCCTGTTCGCCCACAGGTCCTGAGTTCGGGCGCCGTGGCCGAGATTGGCCTGTAGGACCCGGAGCGACGTGAAGGTTAGGCCGTTCACGCCTCCTCCGAGCGCTCTACATCTTCCTCCTCGCAGGGAGAGTCCGTCGGAGTGAATATGTCCACGTCCGACAGCCTCCCCTCCGAGGAGGATTCGGCTATGATGGCCACTACCGACCCGTATACCTCCTCAGAGGCACAGAGAAGCCCTATCTGTTCGACCCCTCCTCTGGGGAGTACGAATGGTCAGAACCTAAGCCCTCTTAATATTTATTAAAGGTTATAGTAAAAAAAAGAATTGAACAATTTTTGTTATTAAATTTTATTTATTAACATAAGGTCAAGTTTTACAAGCATCAAGAACAATAAGAACTTTAGAAACAGAAAAATAAAAACTTTAGATATGACAAATAAGAACTTTAGAAACAAAATAAAAACTTTAGACATGACAAATAAGAACTTTAGAAATAACAATGGCATAAATAGGAATTTAGATATTCAGACTGTCAACAAAATTAAATTACTTTTTAGTGATGGCTTTTAAAAACTGTTGCATAATTGCTATTTTTCCTTGTGTTGCCTTTCTCGCTGTTTCTCCAATTCTTTTAACCAAGCTTCTTTAGCTTGTTTTTTCTTCTCCTTTCCTGCTCTTTCCTCTTTCTTATCTGATATGTAATCATCTAAAACAGCCTCAATTTTCCGTTTATTACATCTTTTTTTTTTTACCATCATTTGTACAAACAGAATCAGATACGATTGCTTGCTAAGCACTTGGTCCAGCTTCTGTAGCAATAACTTTAGGATTTGCCCATCCTGTTTTTCCAAAAATTTCATGCATTCTCTGAAAGAAAAAACATACTTTGATAAATCTTCATCAAATATAACTGAGGAAGAGAAAATTTAAATTAATGTACTTACTTCAAAATATGGCCACGTCTTTCTGTTATTTCCTGACACAGCATTGTGATCTAATATTTTTTTATATTGTTAAGGATTTGAACGCCCCTTCTTCCCGCTTGTAGCGTAGGGCGCCGAACACACGGAGTCACTATGTTCGTGAATCCTCGGTCAGTTCCGGGATCGTTTGTCTCCTGGGCGGATCGTATTGTAGCGTGTCCCTAGATATTGTAGATTGTACGTATTTTGAAGGTTTCTGCATAATTCTAACAGTAGTTCACACAACACGAATTTATACAAGTTTGAAGATTACGCTGCTCATGACATATAAAGCACGATTTAGCGAACATGATCATTTGCATATCGTACGGCTTCATATCACGTTACAACTCCGCTTTGACTAAATATAAAAACTGTTTTTCCGACTTGTTCCAATCCTCCCGACTGAAATTATGAGTTTGCCAAAATTCCGGGTGACTATGTGAAAGCTTTCTTAAAATTTTGCAGATCTCTTCATGATTCGCTTTATGTTCTAATTCGTGATTGTTGCTGCAGTAAAGAATCATGTTGCATGAACGACATGTATTGAAATCTTCAAAATATGGCAACAAGTCTTGCGGACTTCTCTTGCAAGAATGACAAACATTTGGATTGAAGATGTTACTATAAATTTTTGAACTGTCAGTCCATGGTGAAAATAACGGCGATATCTTAAATATATCGATATGTTATGATCTGTTGAAGTTATACCAATATTATTATGTAATGGATATTTACCGAAACATGGTATATGAAATATTAATTTATAAGTATATGCGGAACTCGGTACTTCTTAGCAGGAATAATAAAATTCTGCTTTTACATTTTACGCATATATTTAGCGACTGTTCGGAGAGCACCAAGAAGATATCTATATTATGTTGTTATATTTGTATATCATTACATATTTATTTACACTTTTTGCATGTCTTATAAAACAACAAATAAAATTCTGTTTGAAAATGTAACAAACCTAACTTCTCCTTTATTAAATATTATTACATCAATTCTCATTTATAATTTGTACAAGCGGCTTAAGAAATATCATGATGCTTATGCGTGCTTATTAAATGTCACCAATACAGCCACCGGCATCATACGTCTTCCGCGACATGTATTAATTTCGCTATGATTTTAAGATAATATAAATATATATACACATGCGTGCTTATAAGTGCAGATGGCTGTGTGTTTACTTTACTTTGAACCGTCGAATTTTACTGACTGCTTTTTGCCTTATATAATGCGCCAAAACCGAGCATATTTGCAAAGCGGTTAATTATCATCCATTCCTATCCATCCATTGAAACTATCTCACTAATTATCCATAAGGACGAATTAATAACACTTCCTAGCTAAAAGAAAAATTAACGGGCAATGACTGCGTTCAGTAGAACAAAATGATCAGTGAGCGCTTAGTGATTATTGTCTGTGATTGGAGCATTCTTTTAGATTCTTCATAGACCCAGAAGTATTTACTAATCAGGAGCGAGAATCACTAAGCGCTCACTGATCACTTTGTTCTGCTGAACGCAGCCAATGATTCAGATGCAATGATACTTTCTACATTTTTCGTTTTCTTGACATCAGAATGTAACAATCTCTGGTGGGGAGAGTAATGTCATCTTTGCGTACAATAAATCTATTTTTCTTTCTTGGTGTAATATACCATAATGAACATAATATAATTTTACATAGAACAACATAACGTAAGCAAACTTCTCTATCGAGTGCACTTGTCGAATTAAAAATTTAAGAATCATCATTCAGAGAGAAACAATATGTTAACATTATCTCTTGGCGAAAAGGAAAAAGAAAGAGAAAGAGAGAGAGAGAGAGAGAGAGAGAGAGAGAGAGAGAGAAAGGGAGAAAGAGGGAGGGAGACAAAAAGAGAGAATGTGAGTGCGTGCATACGTGCGTGCGTGCGTGTAACAAAGGATTTTTAAAACTAGTTCCTAACGGTTAAGTTATATTTTAGTGTTCTTCAGATTATTATATTTTTTCCCAATAGAAATGTTCCGTTGACTGTTGAAAAATATCGTCCCGAAAAGACTCTCGATTCTCGGTATTGAGAGAAACTCGATTTGTCTTCCAAGACAGTAAATATAATAAATACATCTCTAACATGCGTGACAGACATATAACCCAAATAACGTAACGGTAGATGGAAAAATAAAATATTAATAACTTAAAAAATAAAATTCAAGTCTTATGTTTATTCTATGAATTTATTGTTCGATGTTTTTTCTGGTACAGAGAGGGTTTTAAAATATATTTTTTAGGGATTATTCAGGTGTTATTAATATAAAAAAATGTAACTTTATCTCAATGCATTCTATATTTTGAAAAATGTATAATTCATTTATGGAAATAAATTTATATTTATAATCTTGTCAATTTTTACATCACCTCTTACGTTATTGTTACAATAATGTTACAAGACTGATATTTTATATATATACGAATGTTTTACGAGATATGAAACAGCAAATTTATCAAATTAATTCTTATGTGGAACTTGCCAAATAAAGTAAAGGAACAAATTTTTTACATTGACTGCAATTCGAAACCACATTAGGTGTACCGCTGTTCAAACATATCATTCATGATGTATATTTTTATTTTTATCTGTTATAATAATGATCTTCAAAAATTCAATCTCACAAAAGTTAATACCAATATAAAGGACCTGCACTATCATTCCGGTTCATTATGTGAGTTGAATAAATTTTTTAAACCCTTAAAAATAACTAAAAACTTATTACGATAAAACACGTCATCGTCCTCCAAGTTCCTGTATGCCCTAAGAGAACTAAATTTATTTTCGATTGGTGTTAAATCTAATGTTGTACGTAGAATTTTATTTAACTCCTGCCTGTTCTTTTCGAATTTGGATTTTGATCCGGCGGTTACAACAAATGGACAAGACTGACTCTTTAATTTTGAAATTATTTCCGCTCCTAAATCCCAGTCACTAAAATCTGCTTCAAATGCTATAATTACATTTGGTGAATTACATGAAAGTATCATGTTAGCATAATCGCGTAAGTGCAGACGATAACTTTGTACTTCGAATTTTTTCTGACACAGTGTGCAGATCGAACAAAGATTAACATTTACGCGTATGGTCTGCATTTCTGATCCTATCAGTATAACTTCTAGATGCTTTAATTCTCCTGAAAACATATGTAGCATAATTTCCCAGGCTAGTATATATTGTGCATCTAAATTATTTGCGACTATTATATGAATAACATAATGCTCATTTTGTATATCTTTTACGTGGAGATGATAGTTCATTATTCCATGATATAGTGTCAACGGTCCTGATAGGTAATCAGAATAGAATTTCTTTAAATGATCAGATTTATAATTCATAAATGTTTCAATGAATTGTTGCATGTTAACAACGTTATGTATAGTGACTGAATTAGCTTGAGTGAATCTAAAGTAAGACAATGATGTAGATTGTATGTATTTATCTGTTCCGAGACACGACTTCAATTTGGCGCAATTTGTAATATGATGATATATCAAAACTTCTGCATGATTCGAACAATAGTTCACGCAGTAGCACTCCGTACAAGTTTGAAGATTACGTTGCTCGTGACAAATAAAACACGATTTAGCAAACATGATCATCTGTACTTCGTACGGCTTCATATCACGTTGCAACTCCACTTTGACTATACGTAAAAGGTCTTTCCTCGACTTGACCCAATCCTCCCGTCTGAAATTATGAGTTTGCCAGAATACCGGGTGACTATGTGAAAGCTTCCCCAAAATTATGCAGATCTCTTCATGATTTGCTTTATGTTCTAATTCGTGATTGCTGCTACAGTAAAGAATCATGTTGCACGAACGACACGTATTGAAATCTTCAAAATGTGCCCGTGATGATTTCGGATCCCTCTTGCAAATATGACAAATATTTGGGTTGAAGAAGTCGCTATAAATTTTTGAACGACTATGAATCCATGGTGAAAATTGTGGCAGTATCTCATACATACCGATGTTACGATTTTCTTGTTGACGAGACGAAGACATTCTTCTATTGAAGATACGTCAATATTTTAATGTAATGGATATTTGCGGAAAGACGTTCTGCGTAATATTAATTTATAAGTAATGTGCGGAATTCGGTATTTCTTAGTGACAATAATAAAATTCTGCTTTCACAGTTTACGCAGACACTAAGAGACTGTTCGGAGAACACCAAGAAGATATATATAGTCTATTGATATATCTGTATAATTACATGTTTATTTACCTTTTGCCATCTGAAGAAGCAGCAAATGAAATTGTCTATGAAAATGTAACGAATCTATCTTCTCCTTTATTATATATTATTACATCAATTCCCATTTACCATTTATAATTTATAATTTATATTAAGCGGCTTAATAAATAACGTGATGCGCTTATTAAACGTCAATAATACAGAGTATCCCATTTTAATGTCCCACTCTAAATAACTCTTCAGTATTGAAGTTTCAAGGAAAATAATCTGAATAAAAATTGTAAGGATTTAAGTGAGCTACCTTATGATGACCTTGACTTTGACCTTGACTTCTATTTTCAAGGTCATTTGAAGATCAACTTGCATTTTTTAAATGGTAACCCTTATTTTTTATTACACTGCATTTTTTCTACTAGCTAATTTGAACAACTTTTGTCTAAAAAATTTTTTACTTGTCTAATATTTTTTGAGATATTTGAGATATTTGACTTGATAATTTTTTCAATATTTAACTTACGATATTTCGTTAACTATTTGTCGGAAGAAAAAGTGCTAGACTTTCTTGCTTTATTTAATCTCAAGAATATATTGTTACAATAGCACCTTGACTTTTGTTAACTCACTCACTGATTTTTGAAAATTTCAAAATCATCAAATTTAAAAAGATATGCCAATATTTTGATGTAATGGATATTTATGTTATATATAATATTAATATGTAATATTAATTTATAAATAAAGTGCGGCTCTTGTTACCTCTTAGCGGGAATAATAAAATTCTGCTTGCACGGGTTACGCATACACTTAGCGACTATTCGGAGAGCACCAAGAAGGTATCTACATCTTATGTTGTTATATTTGTGTATCATTACATGTTTATTTATACTTTTTGCATGTCTCAAGAATTAGCAAACGAAATTGTCTTTGAAAAGATAACAAACCTAATTTCTTCTTTATTATATATTATTGCAGCAATTTCCATTTATAATTTGTATTGGCTTAATAAATATCGTGATGCGCTTATTAAACGTCAGCAATATAGCCACCACATCATATGTCCCCCACATCATGTATTAATCTGGCTACGATTTCGAGGCAATATAAACGCACACAAACGCATACGCGCGCCTGTTTATGTCTACAAAAGCGTATATATTTGTTTTACTTTGAATTCACGCCGAATTCCACGGGTTACTTTTTGCCTTATGGAATACGCAAAGCCGAGCGTATTTGCAAAGCGGTTAATTCTCATCCATTTCTATCCATCCATTGAAACCCTTTCACTAATTATCCAAAAGGACGAACGCACTTCTTAGTTGGGAGAAGAATTAACGCGCAACAATTCCGACCCAATGACATTTTGTACATTTTTCGTTTTCTTGAAATCAAAATGTAACAATGTCTGGTAGGAAGAGTAGTGTCATTCTTGCATGCAATACGTCTACTTTTCTTTGTGTGTATAGTATACCATAATGAACGTAATATAATTTTACATAATACAACATAACGTAAACGAACTTCTCCATGAAATGCATTTGTCGAATTGCATTGAAATTTAAGAATCATTATTCAGAAAGAATAAATATGTTAACATTATCTCTTGACAAAAGAGAAAGAGAGAGAGAGAGAGAGAGAGAGAAAGTAACAAAGGATTTTTAAAACTACTTTCTAACGGTTAAGTTACATTTCAATGTTTTTCAGATTATTATATTTTTTTCCGTGAAGCGTTATGTCCTGTTCACTGTTAGAAAATATCGTCAGTAAGAGACTCTCGATTCTCAATACTGAAACTCGAATTGTCTTCCAAGATAATAAATATAATAAACATGTCTTTACCATTCTTGATAGACGTAGAAACTAAATAACATAACGATAGATGGATAAATAAAACGTTAATAGGTTAGAAAATAAAATTCGAATCCTACGTCTATTCCAAGAATTTATTGTTCGATGTTTTTTCTGATACAAAAAGGGTTTCAAAATATATCTTTAGGGAATTATTCAGGTGTTATTACTATAAAATATGTAACTCTATCTCGATGCATCCTATATTTTAAAAAATGTATAATTTATTTATGGAAATGAAATTATATATGTAATCTGGTCAATTAGTATATCACCTCTTGCACTGTTACAGTAATCTTACAAGACTGACATTTTATACATATACGAGGAAGTTTTACGAGATATTATACAGCAAATTTATCAAATTAATTCTTATGTGGAACTTGACGAATAAAGTAAAGGAATCAATTTTTTACATTGACTGCAATTCGAAACCAACACTAGGTATACTGCTGTTGAAAAATATTGTCAATGATGTATATTTTTATTTTTATGTATTATAATAATGATCTTCAAAAATTCAATCTCGCGAAAGTTTTATCGGTATGAAAGACCTGCGTCATCATTAACCGGTTCATTCCCAGCGAGAAATGACTCGTCGATCGACATCGTTTCGACGTCGATCGACGAATCATTTTTCGCAGGGTTATATAAATTGAATAACTCACTTAAACTCTTAAAAATAATTAGAAGCTTATTACGATAAGACATGTTATTGTCCTCGAAATTCCTATATGCTCTAAGAGAACTAAATTTATTTTCGATTGGTGTTAAATCTAATGTTGCACACAAGATTTTATTTAACTTCTGTGTGTTCCTTTCGAATTTGGAATACGATCCGGCCGTTACAACAAATGGACATGATTGTCTCTTTAATTTTGAAATTATTTCCTCTCCTAGATCCCAATCACTAAAATCTGCTTCAAATGCTACAATTACATTTGGTGGCTTACAGGAAAGAATGTCGTTAGCATAATCGCAAAAAGTCATGCGATAACTTTGTACCTCGAATTTTCTGTTAAGTTTTTTACACACCTCACAAAGTTCGACATTTACGTATTCAGCCTGCATTTCTGATCCTATCAGTACAACTTTTAGATGTTTTAATTTATAAGATAAAGTATGTAACATTATTTCCCAGGCTAGTATATAATGTGCATCTAAAATATTTGCAACTATTATATGAACAACATAGTGCGGACCTTCTAAATGTAGATTCTCATTCTTTATTTCATAATAAAGTGTCAACGGTCCTGATAGGTAATCAGAATAGAATTTGTTTATATGATCATGGTAATTCGCAAATGTTTCAATGAAATGTTGCATGTTAACAATATTTTGTATAGTGACTGAATCAACCAGACGGAATCTAAGATAAGACAATTTTGCAAATCGTAGGTATATATCTGTTTTGAGGCACGACTTTAATTTGGCGCAATTTAAATTGTAGTGATTTTTCAAATCTTTTACATGATTCGAACAATAGTTCACGCAATAACACTTCGTACAAGTTTGGAGTTTACGCTGTTCATGACAAATAAAACACGATTTAGTGAACATGATCATCTGCACTTCGTCCAGCTTCATATCACGTTGCATCTCTGCTTTGACTAATTGTAAAAGCTGTTTCCTCGACTCGATCCAATCTTCCCAACTAAAATTATGAGTTTGCCAAAATACCGGGCGACTATGTAAAAGCTTCCACAAAATTTTGCATATCTCTTCATGATTCGTATAACACTCCGATTTGTGATTGTTGGTACAGTAAACCATCATGTTGCACGAACAATTTGTATTGTAATTGTCATCATAGAACGCCGATATTTTCGAACCTTTCTTGCAAAAATGACAAATATTTGGATTAAAGAAATCGCGATATGTTCTTAGAGAATTGTCATACCATGATGAAAATAACGCCGGTATCTCAGACATGTTGATATTGCGATCTTCTTGTTGACGAGACAGCGACATTTTTCTGTACAACATATGCCAATATTTTGTTGTAATGGATATTTACGAAAACATGTTATACGTGATATTTATATATAAGTAATATGCGGCACTCGTTACCTCTTAGCGGGAATAATAAAATTCTGCTTGCACGGGTTACGCATATAGTTAGCGACTGTTTGGGGGTACCAAGAAGATATCTACATATTATGTTATTGTATTTGTGTATCATTACATGTTTATTTATACTTGTTGCATGTATCAAGAAGCAACAAACGGAATTGTCTTTGAAAATGTACGAACCTTACTTTTCGTTTATTAAATATTATTATATCAATTTCCATTTATAATTTATATTAATTGGCTTAATATAAATATGGTGATGCGTGTATTAAAGCCATCGGCATCATAGATCTCCCTCAGCATATATTAATCTCACTACGATTTCCAAACAATATAAACGCATACACACATGCGTGCTTATAAGTGCAAAGGGCTGTGTATTTACTTTACTTTGAATCGTCGAATTCCACAGACTGCTTTCTACCTTATGGAATGCGCAAAGCCAAGCGTATTTATAAAGGTTAATTATCATCTATTCCTATCCATCCATTAAAACTATCTCACTAATTATCCAAAAGGACGAACGCATTTCCTAGCTAAAAGAAAAATTAACAGGCAATGATTCGGATGCAATGATACTTTCTACATTTTTCGTTTTCTTGACATCAGAATGTAAAAATTTCTGGTGGGAAGGGTAATGTCATTCTTGTGTACAATAAATATATTTTTCTTTATTGGTGTAGTATATCATAATGAACATAACGACAGTAGTTAACTTACTGACTTTTGGAAATTTCGAAATCATCAAATGAATAAAAATCAGAGTACTATTGTACGATATATTCTTGGGACCAAATAGAGCAAAAAAGTGTCGTACTTTTTCTTCCGATAAATAGTTAGCGAGATATCGTAAGTTAGATATTGAAAAAGTTATCAGGTTTTCCTGAAATATCTAAAAAAATATTAGGCAAATAAAAAAAATGTTTTAGACGAAAATTGTTCAAATTAATTGGCAGAAAAAGGTGTAATAAAAAATAAGGGTTTTTGTTTAAGATTCTTATGTTGACTATGATCGAACTTTTTAAGGTCATACCAAGATCAGATAGATATTCATCATCTAATAGATTTTTTAAGCTCTATTCCTTTTATTTAAAACATTTTTCCAAGAAATCAATATTTTCCAAGATTTTCAACCGTGCGGAACTTTTTGCCAATACTGTATATGTCGTTTGCTATAAAGGCTGCGTTCCGATATTCACTGCCAGCACTGAAATTCTATAATACATGTGACACAAACTATATATTTTCAGTTACTGGCAGTGAATTTCGGAACGCAGCCTACTACCCGTATTTATATGGTCTGTTCTTTTTAGCTGCATTGCAGAACTAGTGCAATAAGTTAGAATGAGACAACTATATTTTTTCTCACTTTAACTTATTGCACCAATTCAGTAGTGCAATTAGAAAGAACAGACCATCTGTCAGGCTTTATATCTGAGGCCTCCTTATATTCATCTTTAGATGCTGCACGGATTATTTTATTGGCTACAGACTATCTGAAGATAAACTTAAGGAAGCCTTAAATATAAGGCCTGACTAACACTCGTATTCACAGTCAGGCCTTATATTGGGTTAAGTAAAAAGTTTTGAGCGTTTTCCGCAAGATGGCTTTAGTGAGGTCATATCTCACGATGTATACGTCGCATCTGGTCATTCTATATTACGACTTAAAGGTGATATAACGCTTTAAAAAAAGTTCTTTGACAGTTTTGTATTTGGTGAAGCCAGTTGTGTGTTGTTAGAGCGTTCCAAAATGGAGGTAAAAAAGAGAAAATTCGATACATTCTTCAGTACCACTACGACCAAAGGGAAAAAGCGGAGCAGGCGGCCAAAAAAATTTGTGCTGTTTATGGACCCAATACAGTATCGAATGCAACAGCAAAGCGGTGATTCCAACGATTCCGTTCTGGTAATATGGACGTCGAAGATGAGACACACTCTGGTAGGCCAATTGTCGAAAATGTCGATAAAATCATGGAAATCGTCGAGTCGGACCGGCATACGAGCACTTATTCCATTGCCCAGGAACTGAAGATTAGCCAGAAAACCGTTTGGAACCATTTGCATAAGGCTGGTCTCAAGAAGAAGCTCGGTGTATGGGTGCCACACGAACTGACGCAAAAGAACCTTTTGGACCGAATTCATGCCTGCGATTCTTTGCTGAAGCGTAACGAAATCGACCCATTTTTTAAGCGGATGGTGACTGGCGATGAAAAATGGGTCACATACGAGAACAACAGGCGAAAAAGATCGTGGTCCAAGCGCGGTGAGCCGGTCCAAACGATCGCCAAGTCCGGATTAACGGCCAAGAAGGTTTTACTGTGTGTTTGGTGGGATTGGAAGGGAATCATTCACTATGAGCTGCTCCCATCGGGCCAATCACTCAATTCGGACCTACACTGTCAACAACTGACCAGATTGAAGCAGGCGATCGACGAAAAGCGGCCAGAATTGGCCAATAGGAAGGGTGTTGTGTTCCATCAAGACAATGCCAGGCCGCACACATCTTTGACGACGCGCCAGAAGCTCTGAGAGCTTGGATGGGAGGTTATATCGCACCCGCCGTATAGCCCAGATCTGGCTCCAAGCGATTATCACCTTTTCAAGCATTTGAAAAATTTTCTTGATGGTACAAAACTGGCCTCAAGAGAAGCTTGTGAAAATGAGCTGGTCAAGTTTTTTATCAATAGGGACGAGGACTTCTTCAATCGCGGAATTATGAAATTGCCTTCAAAATGGACAAAAGTTATCGAACAAAACGGCGCATATTTGATCTAAATCCGATAATCCTAACTTTGTTAATTTCATCGTCGAAATAAAGAGAAAAACGCTCAGAACTTTTTACTTCACCCAATATTTAAGACTTCCTTAAATTTATCTTCAGATGGTCTATAGCCAATAAAATAATCCGTACAGTATTTAAAGATGGATATAAGGAAGCCTCAAATATAAGGCCTGACTATGAATACGGGTATATGAATACAGATGTAAAGCCAGCGGCACACGGTGCTTGTTTTCGTGCTGGATTGCTTGCTGGATGAAAATACTGCATTCTGATTAGTGCATTTCCATTCATCTTCGGAAATGTACCAATCAGAACGCAGTATTTTCATCCAGCAAGCAATCCAGCACAAAAACAAGCACCGTGTGTCGCTGGCTTAAGGCTCACTAACCTTTTGGCTGTATTCCAATATTCACTGCCAGTACTGAAAATCTATAATATACGTGACACAAACTATATATTTTCAGTACTGGCAGTGAATTTTGGAACACAGCCTATAACTAAAACCAAAGTTTCTGAAATTGATTTCGGAACAGGCCGAAATTGATTTCGGAACATAAAAACAGTTATAAATATATGGTCTGTTCTTTGTAGCTGCACTGTTGAACTGGTGCAATAAGTTAAAGTGAGACAAACATAGGTTTTCTCACTCTAGCTTATTGCACCAGTTCAGCAGTGCAGCTACGAAGAACAGACTAATATATACACATGTATATATATGCTTTCTTATAATAAATAATATTTGAGGAAGTTATTGAAATGGGTGACCCCCTTCGACAAGAGGTTACTTATTGATGAATATTTTTATATGTGATTATATCTTTACGTAAGGTTACGTCGTGATTGTCAATTTTAGGTTATTCATTAAGATTTCTTTCCATATACTTCCATATACTTCCATATTTTCTAATAACCAAACAATGACATAAGCTATTTGTTCGTGATTTTCAGAGATTACAATTACATAATTTTATTCCTTCTTTTTATTCCTTCATTTATTAATCTTTACCAATGCTTTCAGGTATTGCGAATATTTAAGCAGCTTCACAGAACGCGACTAAAAACGTTTAAAAATGATGAACATGCATTGCGAGGTAATTGCATTTTATTGATGACATTCTATTTACATCAAGTTAATTCCTATGTGCGGGGTCTGTTCTTAATAAGTAATGTTTTATTGTTTCCTGTAGTGGTAAGAAACAAGATAAATGAAGAATATAGAAAATATAAAAGTGTTACAAACAAAGCAGCTATTGAAGAGGTATACTTGTGCAAAGTTTTAATATACATAATGATTTATAATTTATATATAAAATATTGTAAAGAGATCATTTAACTTAATATAATATAAATATTCTAATTATTACTGTTTCAGTTAAACAAATTTGCACAGGAAGTTGAACATGAAGTGCGTACAACTGTTATACAAGTAGTTGAAACAACACCTGGTAGAGTAGGTAATAAATATGAATTATAATTACAGAATGTATATATATATATATATATATATATATATGGATATTAAGTTAAAACTATAAGATATAAATAATATATAATTATTAATGATATAAATAATCCATAGTTGATAATTATGGAATTGTTCATCTTGAATATGTACCACAAATTTTATATAATTAAAATCTATATTATCTACATAATAAATTATAATACTAAAATATATATTTCAGAACTGCGACTTACTCCAGATGTTCTGTTGGATAATGTACCATACAAAGATCAAGAAGATAATAATTTAAGCAAAGAAAAAAAACCAAGCAGGTTAACATCCAAGAGATCAAAGGATACTAAATGACGCAAATCAAAAGCATTTTATAGTTGTACATTGTGACTAATTAATTATTTAGAATTATTGTAATATTTGTAAATACCACACTAGCTACATACTGTATATGGGCATGTATATAATAAATGTACAAGGATAGAATATGCCTTGCTACATTACTAGCTGTGACTAAAGGATTAGCATAATCTGAATGCATAATTAAATTAACCTTTATTTACAGCGATAAATTACAATGGGCATGCAAGATATGTACAAGTTTTTGTTATCTAAGTCGGGTCCTTCGTTTTCACTGCCTCAGGCTGCATCTACATCAGTCTGATCCATATTTCGTTTATGTTTAAGAACTACGCATTACCTCCCTCTAGTTTCATCCTGGAACATGCAAGGAAGTTACTGCACACGTTTACTTTATACGACCATCGTGCGTTCATGATATTTGTTGCTCACCTTTTACATGCAAATTTCATATAATTATTCATATACGAAAGGAATAAGGAGCATTGCTTCTAGGATTTGTTGAAGTATATGAAAGAGACGGGTTCAATACATAAAGAGGCTCTTTGGGGCAAATCTGAGAGAATGAATTCAATGAGAGGTGTAGCATTTTCATCAAGTATCTATAGTTATATATGTAATATAGAATTATTGTTTCTAGAATTATCAATTTGAAGATTTTGTCAATGGAGAAATGTTAAAGACAATTGTAAGGGAATCTTACACATGTTCCGGATGACTGCGAATCTGATCGATAAGATCCGCCGGTCGCAGTTGGTCGGTGCAAATGCGATGTACCGCGGTAAACAGAGGAAACTTATCCATCACATTGCGCGACTTCAGCATATCATGCACCTCATCCGCCGTTGCAGGCCCTTGGAGCTTTTGTCCAGCCAACAGCTCGTCCTCCAGTTCCCTGATAGTCTAGTTGACACGTTATTACAATATATTATTGCAATAAATTCCTGAAGTTGATTTTCACCCCGTTAAAATATCTAGGACTATATCGTAATCAAATTTTCCAATTAAACTTCAAGTTCTAATTAAAGTAATCTCATATCTGGTCTGAACTATACTTCGGAAAATATTCGAATTCAAAGTGCTATAAATCTAAGCTCTTTATATTCCAGAGAAGCTACAAAGATCTCTTCTTACCTTGCCAGTCTTCACAAACTGCTCGCAAACTCTGCGATTTCTCCCGCCATAGCAAGTAGTGATGAGATCTGCCACGCCACAGCTCTCGAAAAACGTGGACAGTTTGGAGCCACTGTAGAAGGTATCTACGAATTTTACCATCTCCATCAACCCTAATCGGATCACCGCAGCCTTCGTGTTGTCGCCCAATCCAAGGCCATCGACGAAACCGGCTGCGCACGCCACGATATTCTATGAACAAAACGATTCAATCAACAATGTGTTACAACGAAGTGGAAAGAATTCTGCTCCATTGAAAAAGCAGAAAGTTTTAAATATTTTCTGTCTGTTGACAAGAAAATTGATACGTACAATAGTTTCTCCGTTTCTAAAAGGGTTGTACTTGCCTTCAAGGCTCCACAGACTTCCACAGCCTCGCAGTCCTCCACGACGACAACTCGGAAGTTGGGAGTTTGAATAAGATCTCTCAGTACCGGCGCCAGCCGTTTGTCCTTGCATCCTGCAATTTGATGCGTCGAATTTGTAGAAAATCGTAAATTTCAAGCGGATACTACATATTGAAATGACTTTGTGTTAATTAGTAAATAAATTCCCAAAATGCTTACCGATCGTCGTTTCGCAGAATTTCTCCTCGGCGACCTCGTTCGCGAGATTGGCACCCATTAGAACGTTACATTGTATTCTCAAGTTCTTTTCAATGATCTTGGAAATCAGTTCGATGTTGTTCCCTTCGCCTCGGCCGAAACCCTTCAAATCCGAGATTCGAGAATAGAATCCGACATATTCTGACAATGAGGAAGAGTTGTTTGAAACATACTTTGATGAGAGAAAGGCCCACTGCGGTTGGTTTAATGTTGTCTAGCAGCGTGGAACACAATGTGCGAATAAACTGATGAGGCAAGACAAAGATGAGGATATCGGCGTCCTTTGCGGCTTCAACGACGTCAGGCACAGCGATCTGGAAAAAAACCAGAAAGGTCGAATCTGCGCTTTATGTCTTAAACAGATCGGAAGACACAATCGTTCAAAGTGGCCACGAATGCAATGCTTTGATACGATACTTTTTTTCGTTGCAAAGAATGTAAAAATCATCGTATCACGTTATCGTTCATTATGATCAGTTATTGCGAATTATGCACACGTTTTAGCTTGCATGACGCAGCACATCTCAGAATTGTAAAGAAAAATTGCAAAACATTTCTAATAGCAAAATGAAGATAGACTTTAATCTCCTTTGATCAATTTGACATAACCGATTAACGATTCAATTGAGGAGAGAAGTCACAAAGGTCGATTTTGTCTGATTGCGAAGATCGCATTACCTTGCATGAAAGTAAAATTAATATCCGTTTTCCGCACAGAATTGCAACTAGCGAATGATTTTTAGTCTATCTGTTAAGTAATATTAATCATAATAACAATAATCATAGAGGTATTACTTTTACATGTATGATATATATTCGAAAGGTAAATTTTGCGGTAGGAACAATTTCGGTTGAATCACATTATTATTAATAATGTCTAATTATTTCAGAAACTATTCGGAGCTTTTCCTTTTGCATGACATTTGTTTCGTTCCGTTGATATTAGATAAATTAGGTTAATTTAAATAATAAATTCTTCTAATATCATCAATAGAACTAATATCAGTAGAATTGACATCAAAGAACACGTACGCAGAGAGATACGATCTGTTGCATGTAACATCGTGTTAGAGATCTGAGCGCCGCACATAAAATAGTACATAAGGTCGCAAGCCGCGCAGTTTGCCGCAGATTGGCACCGGAGGCGTCAACACGCTTCGTGAACAACCTATTGGAAAAGACTATTGGGATTTGAGCAATTTTTCTCTCGAGCAAATCCAGTCAAGGCTACCGTAATAATGAGGCTCAACAGCATTATACCGAATTTTAACGTCGAGACCACGCAAGGCCCCATCGACTTCTACGAGTGGCAGGGCAATTCGTGAGTCGCCTATAATGTATTAGAAATATAAATATATTTATTTTATTTAATATTTTATTTAATATTTATTTATGTGCTTGTGATTATTTGTAATATTAATTGTATTTTTTTGTCACTATTATGTGGTATATAATGACTTCAAACCTTTTTGTAAAATGCCATCATTGATAAATTAAGATCGTGTTAAAAGCCTGGCACTTTAGAGATAAATCATGCTTGTGTATAACGTGAGAGGAGATACGATAACACGTTATCAGCAAAAAGGACTTCTTTCGACATATGTTACACTTGACAACTTATCTCTAGCCTGTAGTATTAAAAATATCCCAATCAAGAAACATTCCCAGAAATTACAAAATACATCGTTGGATTCGATGCAAATATTATAACAAATTGCTGGACTTGTATCTTTTCATGCATATAACTTGCAGCACGGTAGAATCTAAAATTAGATATACTCCCTAACGTAGCAGTCGATAACAACCTGTTGAAGAAGCTAGATAGATTAGATTAGCTTTCATCATGATTAATAGAAAATAACTCGTGTTCGTTAATATATATGTGTTTAATTCTACGCGATTGAGAGAGAAGAAAAAGAAAAATCGTTCGTTTCATCAATATATAAGTGTTTAATTCTATGCGATTGAAAAATTGTATATAACTTTTCTTGACGAACTTTTGCATATCATTAATAATTACAGCCTCATCTGTTACATCAACGCGATCAATTAGAGTAATTTATTTCGCACATTCACTTAAGTAACTGCGTTGTAGGCATTGTAGACTTCTCAAGGTTGCATGCGTTACTAATGTAATACATGCGTGAATTACAAATACGTTGCCGGCGTAGCTGACAAGCTGATCATTTGATACTTCGCGCTGAAAAGTTTCAAGGCGACCGTGCGCTGAAATAAATACAGATTGCAACAACGAGAGTTTACCCTTGGCACTATAGCCAAAACGAGAGAGAACGTAGCTATAATAAATGTTTGCACTTGAAAGCACTCGAGTCAAGGCAGACGCGAGCAGTTATATCATTGTAGCTCCGATAAGTGCCGTAACAAGTTATTACATTTCGTAACGACAATCTTTATCGAGAGATTCGTTCTATTGCTCGGGCAAATTCTAATCAAATTTCAACTTAACGTCTTCTCTTGTGTCCATTGGGTTTTCTCTAATTTTGCGTCATTATTTGTTATGCCTTCTTTATATTTTTTAATATCAATTTTTAGCTCAATTATTTATTAAGCTTTTGACTGTTATTAAATTTTCTCTAATTTTGTATCTTCATCTCTCCTATTTCATCTACTTTAACTATTATATTGTTCCTCGATACTTTTTAATATAAATTTTAGACTGTTTTGATTTAATGTTACTTTCTTGTATCTACTAAATTTTATACTTTTGTCTATCGTACCTCCCAATATTTTTCAATCTCGATTTGAACTCTCAATCGACCTTTCTTAATGATTGTGCACCATGCTTTGCAGATGGGTAGTTCTATTTTCGCACCCCGCCGATTTCACTCCCGTGTGCACCACCGAGCTAGGTCGCATTGCGGTGCACCAGCCTTACTTCATCAAACGCAACACCAAGCTGTTGGCTCATTCCGTCGACAAACTTAAGGACCACGTGGACTGGGTTAATGTGCGTATCTTTTATTGAACTCGATGTTCCAAATTTTGTTCGAGAGATTTTTCTCTTTTGGAAATATATTAAATTACTCGCTCAACGTTCTAATCAGCGCTTGTAATTATCCGCAATTATCCAATTTTCTAATTAATTTTTCTGGTCGTAGGATATCAAGTCATACTGCAAAGACATTCCTGGTGCCTTTCCGTACCCCATCATTGCCGACCACGACCGCAAACTAGCCGTGCTACTGGACATGATCGACGAGAAGAACAAGAATAATCCGGAAACCGCTCTGACCGTCCGCGCTCTGTATATTATCAGTCCTGATCATCGTCTGCGATTGTCCATGCAATATCCGCATTCCACCGGACGCAACGTCGAGTGAGTTGCGAAAAGTTTCAACCGCGTCGAACTTTATACTTCTCTAATTTCTCTCTATTTAATATTATATTTAAGCATCGGTGAAACGTAAGAAATAACGTGATCTCAATTTCAGCGAAATATTGCGTGTGATAGATTCGCTGCAACTCGTCGACAGAAGACCAGAAATAGCAACGCCCGCCAACTGGGTGGTGAGTCTCATGTTACCCTTTTATCATTCTTCGCTACTTATCATAATAATAAATATTCAATCGCGTACGTTCTGTTTAATTACACATACGAATCATTCCAGCCGGGCGAGAAGGTGATGATCTTACCGACGGTGAAGGACGAGGATCTCCCGAAACTTTTCCCAGGAGGTGTCGACCGTGTATCTATGCCTTCCGGAAAAGTCTACGTCCGCACCACCACTAATTATTAATCGGAAATCTTGCAGCATTTTCAAAAATATTCATACATTCCGAATCTTTATCGAACTATCCTTTGTTTAATTTGATATGCTTGCCGTCATGACAAGCTTCCCAGATAGCAAACGGACATCCAATGGATGTACGTTTCACGTCCAATTTATGTCCTTATGTCCAATTTACGTCCGTATAACAAGGATGTCCTTATTGGACATCGGACTATAGGACGTCCGATGTACGTCCATCGGATGTCTTATGTCCGAAGTTGTGATAAACGTACGTCCTATGGACGTATTTTGTATAAAAAATGGGCATATAACGGACGTCCAATGGACATCCGTGTGCTGTCCATTGGACGTCCGTCTGGGTTGTAGCTTTTCTCTGATTAGATTGGACGGATGCATCCACTAAAATATTCCTAATAAAGATTGCGCTAGCGGAAATTTTTACACTTTGCATTTATAAATGAGTTTCTAGATTTCTAGATTTTTAGATTCTTGATCATCGTTGCATATATGATTTTATAATATGTGGTGAAGTTGCCTTTTCTTTAACATGTATAATTTTGCAATCAATAAAAATACTAATATACTTGAAATACCTACCACATTTTCCGGAAGTTTATGTCCGGGCAGATATTTGACGTTTTCATGCAAAGTATTGATTATGTCGGTAAGCTTCTCGTTGTTAATGATCTCTTCATACACGTACATCGTCACTCGAGTCTCGAATATGTTGTTGAACTTCATTACATTCGCGCCGACAATCTTCGCGATCGCCGAGCCCCTGAAATAATAATCGTAACATGTTACAAAAAATACTTTGCAATATTTTTTCAATTAATTATCTTTTGTTTCATAATATAACTCATTAATAAATGTTTTTATATAATAATCAAAAATTTAGTTATATATATATATATAATTTACCATATATATATATATATGGTAAAAAAATATTAAACGCTCAATATGAATTTCATTTATTAAATATGCGTGTATTAAATACGCGCGCGCGTTATCTATCCTTGAAATTGTGTAGTGATGTAGTGAGAGTTAATTTTGGAACAATAAGTAGACAAGCAGTGCAAAATCGTATTGTAACATATCACAGGAAACTAGATCAAGAGAAACTGCGGTCCGTTCTATTACTGACTCTAAGTCAGTTAAGTTTAGTAATATAATTATCCTTTAAAGATATAAAATATATTAGTTCTTTAATACTACTCAATGCTGCACACAAATAATACTAATTCATTAATAAGTAACATTAAAAGTTAATCAATTGACATGATCGCTCCACGATTATGTAAATTCGTTTTCTGCCTTGCGCCTTCTCGGATAAAAATTTACATTTTTACAAATTATAAATAGATGAAAAGAAAAATAATTGCAGGTATAAAAATAAAAGACAGCAATGCGGTCGTAATTACGTTTGGAATTAATCTACTACTAATTATTTCTCCTTTGACAAAATAAATTACCAGTTTCCACTGCCGACGATGCATACTCTCTTCTTCGTGTCCGGCATCCTTCTTTTTCCTTGATGTCCTGTCAGTGATATCCTGTCCGATCGACAGCCGATCGATTGCGAGGATGGACTGACCGACTGACTTAGAAGCCCGCTGACCTTAGCAGCGATCGCCAATTATTTTCTAACAGCTTGTGCGCAAGCTCTGGACCAAGGCCAGCCAAGCAAAAACTCTCTGATAATGAAGAAACGCCACGTCGAAATTAGCGGCGCGCTAATAATGATAATGAGGTCCGAACTTGATCCTACATAACGTATCCTCATATTCAATTTTTCAAGAATTTTATGTATTTTTCAGGTGATAACAGGAATTAAAAGAAGAAGTTAAAACTTAGGTCCAGAAAGTCCTTAATTCAGAGAAATTTGATCAGGATCAAATTGATCAAGATCTACTGAACTGTTATATCAAATATGATTAATGTGTACCTGTGTATATGTATGTGCAAGCGTGTACATGCAAGCGTGTACGAGAGATTAAAAGATTAGATACAAAGTCAAAGGTTTTGGAGGGTAAATCATTCATATGTTTACAAATCGCTTCATCTTTTGCCAAAATAACTCTCGATTACAATACGATTCTCGATACAGTAATTTTAATTATATATAACAAACGCTTTATACTAATCGTAGTCTCTTACGCTGAAACATGGGACGACTTTTTGCAAAAAGACGTCCAGATATCTCCCCACAGCTGTCACAATTTCTTCTAAAAAATTTAACTATTGACAAGCAACCCAGTTATTGTTAGTAAAACGTAAATAAAGTTTTGCTATACACAAATATAGATTAGAGCTACCAGTAATTAAAAAGAACGAAATTATTTATGTTATGACTTGGACAGTCAATTAACTATCACAGCTGTGCCGAGCATCCTCAGGATGCACCGACCACCTTGACGAGTCTCTTCAATCTGTTTACTTCGTACATATTACATTATGTTACTCGATGTGACATTCTTCAAGCTTTCGACGAAAAAATGTGCTCATCTGATCAAATAGTATTCTTCCAGACGATACAAAAAGAACAGAACGAAATAATTGCCGCATATCAATATATCAGAAATACACCGACTGATGGCATTCTGTCAAAAATCAATTAACGTCAATCAGACAACGACGCTATGACTTGACAATCGAGTTTGATAGGCATCTCTCAACGTTGCGTTTTCGAACGAATCATAACGTTCAAACGGCGACGAATCTTCTGCAGATGATTAATACCAGGTTGATACTTCACAGGTGGCTTATGGGTGTCTTCAGCTTTATCGACGATGACGACGACGGCGAAGCGTCTTCGTTCCTAAATACGGAGCGAATACGAATTAACTTTTTTAGCCCGACACTATAATCCTGTGATAATTACTGTGGGCAAAACAACTCTCTTACGTCAGTCGAGAAATAAGAATCGTACATAATTCTAAAATTAGCTAAGAATTACCATTCGGACAAACTGTAGAAATGACTACAAAAATTCGCTTTTATTTGTATGGACATTCCAAGTTTCAATGCCAAAAGATGCATTTCCGAGCTTGTCCGAGTATTTCAGTAACGCTCTTTGTACAATTCCAACGGCAGAGGATTACAGAAAGCCTTAAGACCAACGACGAAGGACATTGTCTTCAGGACCTTTCGGGAAGACAAAGAGGACAGAAGAGCTGAATTTTTATTTTTTTTTTCTCAACAATTAATGAAGTATATTTTTCTTTTTTCACGGTTTACATAATGTCGGGATTGATTCATGTCGGGAACGCATATACAACAATTGACGATCAAAGATCTATAGCTCTAGTCCGTCTACTCTGTTAACACGTCGAATAAAATCTCAGCAAAATATATGTATTCCATTCATATAACGTACGTAACAATTTGTTTATCCATCGCGCTCAACGCGATGCGAAATTTTATTAACTAAATTGTTCGACTTCCTCAAGCGAAGGAATCTGTGAGGAGCCTTTTAATCTGTAAGAAACCAAGCTCCGAAGCCGTGGATCGTGTAAATCCGTCACAAATAATAAAATCGTGTAACCAGAGTCAAAATTGTAAAAACTGGAACTTTCATAATTTTGAACCACCGAATCCTAGAGGAAAGTTAATAGAACTTTGGACTTTTAAAATCCGGAACATCTCATTCTTATGAAGCTTGGAAGCTCTGGAATCAACGAGAATGTAAATGGATAAGACCTTGGAAACAGAAATTTGATGCAGTGGGACTCTCGTGAGAGCAGCAGTGGAAAGCAGCTCGTACAAATGTTATCAAGAGCGAGGTTAACGTGTTCTTATCGAACTTCCACGCATCAACTTATCTTATCGACGAACGAGGAATCAGTTTACGAAACTCAGTTCCGTCCTGGCTGAAATTAAGTAGCATGGGTACCCGTGAATCTGAACACATAACTTTCTGTTCTTAAAATTTTCTGTTCTTAAATTTTCATTTACGTACAAAAGCCTAAAACCGATTCAGTATTTCTCAAAATCTTATTCACAATGTCAAAATGAACTGGTTTTAGTCTGTGGCTTAATGTAAATCTAGTCCTGAATCCATGGGCTTCGGGCTAATTAGAAATTACATTACTGAATTCTCAGTAATAAAGGATCCGTAGATCCCATGTGGGTTTAATTGTCCCTATGTTTAAGTTCGCGAACCAGCGTCAACATTATGATGATAATTGTGGGCTTACATGTGTTCCGGATGGCTGCGTATGCAGTCGATTAAATTCGTCGGTTTTAGTTCACCAACGCAAATCCGGTGAATCGCCGTGAATAGCGGAAACCTATTTTCCATGTTTCTTGACTTCAGCATGTAGTTCACCTCCTCTGCAGTAAATGGACCCTGCAGCTTCTGTCCATTTAGCATTTCCTTCTCCAGTGTCTCGATAGACTATATAAAGATAAGACCGAGTTGTTACATTATTGCTATATAAAAGTTTATAAAAAATAATGCTAAAAGTTTACATTGTTAGAAGTAATACGTCGGAAATATATTTTTAAAGTGTTTTAACAGTTTAAATAATAATTCTACTAAGTTTAAATAAAACAGATTGAATAAAAATTCTACTAAGTAAATTTTAATCGAACAAATTGAGAAAAAAATATTATTTAAGACATTTTAAAATCAGTTTTTATAATTAAAAAAATCCAGTTTGAATTGGTGAAAATACATTTGGGAGGCCCTTTACTTACTTTGCCGCTTTTGACAAAAGCTTCCGAAACTTTCCTATTACGTCCACCGTAACACGTTGTAATCAGATCTGCCACGCCGCAACTTTCGAAGAAAGTCGCCAGTTTTCCGCCCGGAAAGAATACATCAACGAACTTGATCATTTCCATAAGACCTAGTCTGATTACCGCGGCCTTCGTGTTATCACCTAGACTTAATCCGTCGACAAAACCGGCGCCGCAAGCAACTATATTCTGAGAGACACGAAGACAAAAAAATATGAAACGACAAGATATTAAACGTTGATTAAATAAATTTATATTTTAAATCGTCGAACTTCGAAATACGCTAACCGAGTGCTTAAAATAAAAGTCAAATGAAATAAAATTTACTAAAACATAATTTTTTTTATATAACGAGAATAAATTACGTTAGATAAAATATTCGGATTTAGTTGAAAATAAGATGTAATATTTAATGAAATTAGAGATAATTATTTATACTTTCAACGCTCCGCAACATTCCACGGAATCTACGTCCTCGACAACCACCACCCTGAAATATGAAGTTTGAATCAGGTCACGGAGTATTGGTGCCATTGCTTTGTCCTTGCATCCTGCAAACCACAATCTGAGCTGTAAATTACATTGATTTTAAAACGCACTGAATATTATGAATCATCGATGCTAATGAAGTGTGAAGTACAATAAAATAATCAGTGCAAGAACTGGAGCCACAAGATCTGATACGGTCAGAATTGCGGAACGCTTTATACAGTTACGTAAGTCGCAACGCAATGTGTTTTTGCAGAATGTATTATCACCAATGCGTTTCTTATCGCTGCAAACATTTCAAGTTATCCAGTGTAATATCTTTCAACTTATCGACAGTCGTGTAAATTGCTGCTAACAATTGATGTCTCAAGAATAACTGAAAATTAACGTTATCGTTTTACCAATAGTAGTTTCGCAGAACATCTCTTCGGCCACCTCGGAAGCCAAGTTGGCGCCCATCAAAACTGAAACGGGAATCTGTAGTTGTCTCGAAATTATGTGAGAGATAAGCTCGATACCACCTCCTTGCTTTTTGTCGAAACCCTGCAAAGAAATGTTGGATGTTGATTTACAGATATAAAAAAAAAAGAAAAACCATTGTCTTCATGATCGTCCTTGAGTGCATATGTTCTTGGAAAATGTACCTTGATCAAGGAAAGGCCAACAGCGGTGGGTTTGATTTTTTCTTGCAACGTACTGCATATCCTTCGGATGAATTGATGCGGCACTACGAAAATAAGTATGTCCGCGTCCTTCGCAGCCTCTACCACGTCGGGTACTGCGATCTGAAGATAATTAATCATATCTCAAGTCTTGGAATTTCAATATTGAGATTTCGAAAGTATCTCAACGAAATACAAAACTACTGTGAGTTTAAAAAGAAAAAAAAATTGTTTCTTCTATAACGATATCTCAGAATTAAAAAATTTGATGGTGTGAAAACTCGTGATGAAGAAATTGTTTCCTCGCAAATTGGCCACGAAATTTACAATTGGACAGATGCATAATAATTTCGAGAGTTCGCATATATATAATTCGCAACTCACCGGCGAAATGTTTTCGATATTATCAGTTTTAAATCGTTTAGCGCGCTCGATGACAGTAAAAGCAATTACACGTTATGAATGCGGAAAATAACGTGGCCTTGATCACCGCTTCATCATTACATTGCTCGAGCAATGAAATGCTGGAAAATGTATCGTACACTCTGTTAGTTTCGCTCGCACTTTCTTACGCTTCATAAGTTTCAATGACAGCCATGTATATATGGAATTTGAAGTCTTTTGATTATTAACACCGAACTAGTGTAGAACTTTATATTTTAAAAATATTTTATACCAAATACTCTTTAAACGCTTAGATTTTCGTCTTGCGCAGCTTAGCTTGATGTCCTTGGAATACATGTCCTTGGAATTTCCGAATGAATATCAATTACTGTGCGACGTGAAAGTTAACGACACAAAACCAGTTGGAAAGTCGATTTGTTTGAAATACTTTTCTAGCCTGTTCTCATTTATTATGTCCGAGGAACTCTATGAAAAAAGTGATCTCGATAATACACACAATCACATGTGATATAATTAAAATGAGAAAACAATTATGCCTCTTTTCCTTTCTCCGTTTTTGTCCTTTTAAAAATAAACAATGTCCTCTTTACTCGCGAATATTTTGGGCAATTTCCAACATTGAATTAATTTTGCTACATTCAATCGAACAGGAAAAAATCGCAGAGTTAATTTTAAATTAGCCAAGAGAATATGTCAATAACAGCGACGAGATAATGTACATGTGCTCCGCGAGCCGCACGGAGATACACGCAAAGCTGTCAGTTTGATTGTCTCTCTTTTTAACTGCTACTTGGCAGAATGCGTCTATAGCGCCGCGTCTCCGAAGGATGAATGTTTCATGAAGACGCGTTATTCTTAGCCGTCTCTACACATATACAGTGATTCTTCGTGGGAGGCTACCCTTATGGAAGACACACCTAAAAGACTAGATCCATAAATCACAATGTACTTCACAACTCTCTCATTCCCTAATCACTTCAATCGATTATATCGACTGAAGGAAATTGAAAGTAAACATTTAGAAACATAAGTAATGAAATGAAAACGATCGAAATTACTTGTAAAATGCGAAGTTGAGTAACAATAATAAAAATAATTGGAGTGATTGAGTTACAAGGTTCTTTTCTTTAATACGTAATTAATTACATAAGAAATCTAGGGATTTTAATTATGTAACTTCGATATTCTAAATCTGTGCAAGTTGTAAACAGTACGTTGTTTATTGTTTAATACTGGCACAAGTTTCGCAGCTTCCTAAAAGAAAACACGGCAAGAATCTGAGAAATATGAGTGGATGACGTTGACGGAAAATGCAACATTGAGATGCCACGCCGAAGCGATACGGCTACTTTAATTACGTTCAAGGTTCGATGAGTAAAGTTCAGGATCATGAATGAATAATCGAAATGAACCGATTGCATGAACTGATCGTTTATCTGCTTGAGACTTTCTAATTTTAGGCAACATCAGGAATTCAAAATATCGCATATGTAGAGAGGGATAAGGAATGTTAATGGTCCTGAATTTGGCACAGAATTTAAGAAAACCGTAAACGGAAAGGAAAGGTATTAAGACAGCGGCATTTAAAATTCCAATAGTGGATTTTTTAAACATTGATTCAAAGATCAATAGTCAATTTTTTATTTTAATTTTATACAATTTGAAGAAAGAAGGAAAAATTAGTAGCGGAAATAAAATAAATTATATTTTTTAGTTAATATCAAGTGACCTCTAAGCATTACGTAAAGGATAAATTTAAAGTCGCCTTACCACATTCTTAGGAATTTTGTGTCCGGGAAGATACTTGACGTTCTCGTGGGTCTCGTTGATAATTTCTGTGAGCTTTTTCCCGTCAATAATCTCTTCATAAACATACATAGTGACACGATCGACGAATTTGCTCTGACTCGCCGCGTTCGCGCCGACTATCTTTGCGATAGCCGATCCCCTGTGAGAATTAAGTATAATTATAATTTATACTTCAATTTATTTATTACTAAAAATGATAAAAATAATTAATATCAATAATTAATATCAATAGTATATTTAATGCAACATTCTCTAATTACGAAATTACTATTATAACAATTCAACTGCAGAATTATTATCGTTGTAAATATCTAATCATTAATTTACTATCACTATGGAAATGAAATTAAAATAACAACACTACTGTTTATCTTAATAATAATAAAAGAAAAGAAAAATTACAAAAGAAAAATAAACTATCATAAAAAATTATATTCTTTCCTGACATGCAGTCATCTTTGGAGAAATTATCAGTTATTTTAAAATGTAATCAATTAAAGCACAATTTTATCCAAATACATTTTTACTCAATCACACAAGTAAAAACGCGTAAGAAACGTATCGGTACTCAACTAACTGTTAATCGCTAGTTATCTGAGCGAGCATTGCGCATCAATTATGTACTATGTAAGCTGTCTGTATTTCACGCAAAACTCGTCATTAGTTCGAAACTTCTTCGACGACTAGCTGAAGCAGGCGCGTAGTAAACAAATTCGTGCGCCACATCTGCGTGAGCGCGCGCGACAGCACGTGCAAATCGATCACATTTGGGACTTCGCGGATCTTCATCCTCGTCGATATCGCTCTATCTTTCCGCATTCTTATCACTCTCTTCAGCTCAAAACCGACGTTCGCCTCAACTCACCAATTGCCGGAGCCGATGATGCACACAGATGCCATGATGCACTCAAGACTGTTCGTAGTTCGATGTGACGAGAATATGAAGCCAACTGGAGGATCGCGAGACCGACTTTGTCTGGACGCTGTTGGGCGAATACTGAGGGGCTCCGAGGCGACGAGAGGTCGGCTGAGAGCGAGCGACGCGTGCGTTGCACTGTACACCAATCGAAGTCCAGGTTGATAAGAATATATCAGACTCTGAGTGGGAGGGTCGTCAGGAGAGTCCAAACTGGAAAAGGAAACTGGAAAAGGAAAGCGGTGGATGTAATAATCAGCAGTGATAATACGGAAAAAGTAATATGAATTATTTTAGATTATTTACGATGACGGATCATTCCAAATATATGTAATTATAGTTGTAATATCGTTTGGGAAGCAAATTAAAAAAATTTCTCAATAATGACTTATGATGTTCTGCGCGAAGTTGCAATTGACATGAACGTTGAGACAATTGAATCCTCTTCGAGATATTTTAGACTATGCGTGACTTTCAGACTAATTTCTTTTCTACTTTTTATCATTTATACAAAATCCCGTTGGGATAATTTTCTACAGATCTGAAATCATAACTTCTTTCATATATGAAAGAAATCCAGTCTCCTGAATATAAACGTTTCTTCATTATGAAGCACAAAATATTTATATTACAAATTAAACTATTTCCTGAGATAATAATCATTGGCTGCTTAGTAAGTCTTGTTGGAAAATTGTTTCCAAACATTCTTGTAACTTCATATTTTAGTTTGATTTAATACGCTATTGGACTGAACATCAAACAGCCGTATTTTTTTTTTGCTAAAAGGAATATGAGTACGGATGCTTGGAAGAGGTCTCTGGAATCTTAAAATTGTATTTCAAGCGGAATTAGCCTCGGCTAATTTATGAATAATCAAGTTTTTCTTCAATTTGCCACATTCTTTATTATGCACAGACAGACGGAACAACATCAATCGACTGTCGCTTTCGTAACGTATATATGTTTTCAGATCTACGGATTCTACAGTGTGCGGAGTAAATTTCGCACCGCTCGAATAACACTTTTTAAAGTTGTGAGATTTGTATATTAAATAATAGAGACAAATAAACAATCAACGTTTCATACCAATTTAATGGTAATAAGAACAAAAATATATCAATGGCGAATATAACTCTGCACTTGGACAGATCATAATGATCGAATTAATACACTACATACATATATATATATATATATATGTTCATCAAAAAGAGATGTCTTATTCAGTTATTCATAACTGACTTGTTTAAAGGAGTAACTATCGAATTTATGACCTCGTCAAGCTTCTACTGGTAATCAGCGACGATCGTCAATTAACGTCTATTATTAAATTAATCTTCAGTAGTAGCCTGCGCAGCGTCTAGAATAATCTCGAAGGAGAACGGCTGGAAGCTGTAGCCCAAACCAGCGTAAAACTTGCTCTGGAATTCTACCCTGCAAGATATAGAACAAAAATTAGAAATAAAATTTTTTGATTCGTGAATATAATTATTATAATCAATATGTTTATACAATATATAAATTAAGTAATTATTAAAACTACTAAGATTTACCAATTTAACAATTACATTTATTTATATACACCACAAAAAGTAGGGAAAAACCCGAATTTAACAAAAAAGGCAAAGTATTACACCAATTTTTCGATTTTTGAGACCAATTTCTTCAAAAAGAGGATCGTGTGAAAGAAGATGAAAGAAAGAAGAAGGAAAACGAATCTTTAAGACTATGTACAATAGCATACTTCTTCCTAGTTATAATCTTACCAATGCAAACGTAGCGTATGCAAGAACGCGGAGAGACCCTCCATGAGTACAAGAATGCCCACGGTGAGCACTGCCCAGAAGGCGAAGACAACATAAAGGATAATACCGCCGTCCCAGCCCTCTCTTGCCAGGCCGTTTCTCATCACCATGATCCACAGGACCTCGGACAGCTGGGCGTGGGCCAAAGACAAGGCCCAAAGACGCAAATAGGACGCGGTGTGCGACACGCTGCCGAGAACATATTCGATGGTATGAATACCTTGGTGAATAAATACTTCCATCATATCTTCCTCTTCCTCCTTATGGCCAGCGCCGCCACCAGCTTGAGTAACGCCACCGGATGCCTGCAAGGCTCCCATACCGCCTTCCACATCGCCGTTCTCGGCACCGTGGTTGTTGAGCTGATAATGCTGCTTCTTACGACTGCGCATCATCATGATTGGCTTTGCCAACAGCATCCACGGTACGCAGAGCAAAGCCAAGATTACCAGAAACTTCTGTAGGCCGCCCTGACCGCCGTACATATAGGGATCGCAATTGCCGACTTTAGTAGCGGGCTTGAAGAGGACCATGTTGATGAAGGTGATGAGGACTGAAGGCGCGCAGCCCGGACTAGATGCCAGCTCGTTCTTCGGCCCGTATTTGATCCACTTGATGAACATGAGCAACACCATGTAGAAGAAGAGCAGAATGAGAAAGATCACCTGGGGTATGAACTCGCAGATAATGTTGATGCGTTTCTTGAAGTACATGTGATTCCACAGGCCGACCATCACACCAAACAGCATGTGCAACACGCCAAAGATAATGGAGATCTTCATCTTGTATGAGTTTAGGAAGATGATTTTGTTCTCAGCTAACTGCCATACAGGATCCATGCCGAACGGATACGGATAGTCGATGTAATCATCCGTACTCGGATTCAGCTGTAGTTCCTTGTTGGTCGCTATGGTGCTACGATTGTAATTCACGACCCAGTTGGAGCCGAAAATGTTGAGCGACTTGGAGAACACGTCGTTGTAAATGAGACCAGTATACATGGAGAATATACCCATGAGGAAGATGATATAACGGCCGGCAAAGAAAATATTCCAGATCTCGTTGTCGCTCTTCTTGGCCGCTAACGGCTTCTCCTTCAGTACCATCCAGCCACCAAACAAAAACATAATGAGACCATGGCCGCTGTCGCCAAACATTATCGCGAACAGAAATGGGAACGTGATGATGGTATAAGGTGCAGGATTCATCTCGCGATAAGAGGCGACTCCGTAAGCGTCGATCAATGCCTGAAAGCCTTTCGTGAACTTATTCGTGCGGTTGTACGTCGGCGGATCTTCGAACGTTTCCATACGATTTAGAATGGGAGGTACGGAACTTCCACTGCGCTCCTGAGAACAAAGACACAGAAGACATGAACCTTTTATTCAACAATAGGATGATCAAGAAAATAGCGAAAAATAAATCTGTAAATATAAATTACCGTTCCCCGTCTCAGAGCCAATTGGATAGTCTCGATGTCCAAAACAGGTACCCAACACTCAGCAATCAGGCACTTCTGAGTGACATCCAAATTGAAAAGATTCAAAGTATGATAGATTGCCTTGATCTTGCGAACCTTGACGAACCAGTTTTTTATATTCTTTGCAGCAGCTACGAGAACACGATGACGATGGTCCTGCGTCTGTCCTAAGACCTGAGAGAGAAGACTATCTATTTTATATCAAGTTTTTTTCCTAATAACAAAAGAATTTGACGTGAGAAGGGTTTTCAATAATACATAAAAATATTTAATAATATTAAAATAATGATATGAACGTATCATAAGATTGTAGCGAAATATAGCATGATCTTACAGTGTTCAAGTCTTCGATGCGTGTCATAACGCCCATGGCCATCTCCCTGCGATCAGCCGGTGCTTCCGGGCAGGGATACAAAGTCGCCCTGAAACCTTCGCAGATCTTTTTCACGCGAGTTTTCAGCTGATCACCTTGGAAGAAAATGATGAAGACCGACTTGTACACCTGGTCTCCCTGAATCAGTTATTGACAATCATAGTGATACTAATTCCAAACTGCTGTACAATTCCAATTTCGCAGAGATTCTCGTGTGTGACTTAAATCCTTGATTGTACAAAATTTATCCACACGTATTCACGGTTGAAATATGAAATCACGAAACTATATCGTGTTCTACTTCCATCAAAGCCTTCGATTAAGTCGCACACGTTTCCGTTTTCAGGATTCCCTAGATTTTACATCATCGCTGCGACTACTCACCGTCGAAGGATCTTCCAAGGGAGTCTCGATCTCCGCCTGACGCAGAAAGACATTTCCACGGCACGCACGCCACAACATGCGCTCGAACGCAGGGATACGTTCCCTCAGAATAACTCCCGCGACGAAACTACTCGCGTGACGACATAAAACCTCATATTAATGTACAATAATGGCAAACTGTAGTTGGATACCTAGGGTGTCTACCGGCAGTAGTGTGTGCGTTAACGCAAACTAAATTGTGAGACTCTTCACGATCACGATCACGATTATTATCCTTGCGGTGATTCAAGTAAAGCATCGTGGTGATCGACAAAGTAGCGAAGCTTTCAATCTGTATCGGTTAACGACTCGTGCGGATTTGCCGTGGGATAGCTAGCCAATTGGGAAATGATGATTTCTGTAGCCATGGTCCTTCTCTTTCTTTCATTTTCTTTCCTCTTTTTACATACCTCGGAGGACTTCTGTCAATGATCCTATGGATCCTTGAGACACTCTTTCAACAACAAACTCCAACAAACACCATACTGTGTCACAAGAACAAACCGGGCTTTGTCGGGTTGTGTATCATCGTATGTTGGATTCATGTCCGAATCGTAATTATGCAAAGTGCCACGGGATTTGCCTTGTCGATACGTTTTTATCAATTCGTTGTATACCGAATCGCATGTTTCGTTATGACTGTTAATTTTATTACTCTTTTTAATTTGGAACATTATGAAAAATTTTTTTTGGAAAATAAACGACATTTACTTATCATTTCAACAATGTTCGTCGAATTATTACCAAATAATATTCTACTATCGATATATATTATACAATAGGAAATTTTATTTCAATCTCAGATACATTATTCACAATTATAAATAACAAACGTACAAAAAAAGATATGAAAATTTCATATACAACAATTTGATAAATTGTTTACTGCGTATATGGATAACACTTGCGATAAGCTCTTATCAACTTTTATATTGTGTGTTTAGTGCATTAAGTCTCGGAATCTCTAGATTCGTAGGTCGAGATATCAGGATTCTTTATAGACTCCTCAATATATCACGTTTCACACTGTCCATTTCTCAATCCCATATATAATAGTGTACACAAAACAGCCACATTTAAGATCAAACGTGGTGTGGATGTGTAAACTTTTGAATTTTAAATCTAATGTTCCAAAGTATTGAGTTCTTTGAAGCTTTCTTTTCCCAAAACTCGAGGTTTCCCAAACTTCGAGTCTTTAAAAATTCGAAGTACTAGAAATCCAAAGTTTCAAAGATCTAGGATTCTAAGGAACTAAAATACCGAAGGGCGTAAAATTCCAAGTATCCGAAGTGTTGAAAGTGCCAAAGTGCCGAGAGTACCAAAATATCCGAAGGTCTAACGTCGCAAAAATTTACAATTATTATAGTAGAAGACAAGGTCCTGTCAAAATTTGAAGTTTCCAGTTCTGCAATTTAGAAAAAAAAAAAAATTGAAAAATTAGAAATTCTCAAGATTCACTCAAGAACAGAAAACTATTAGGCAACGTAGCTTCTCTCGAAGTTTTAAGTTTCTCAAACGTAGTTTATGTTAGATCAAGGCACTGAAAAGATCTGGAACATCAGCGATCTATGATTAAAAAGGACCTGAATTTGCTCGGTTCTTCAGGCCCTCAGATTCCTTCTGAACTGAGAAATGATCAACGGCCTCGTGGACTTTCTCATCATGGAACTCTTTCGATCCTTCGGATTCCTGGGACCTTGCACAACAGGAAGGAACTAGTGTAATGGGAGTACGTACCCCAACTGGACAGGACCAAGGGCGGACTGGCGAGCGATATTATCATCGCTAATCAACGCGCGTGTCATGGACTCGGTGGGGTTCAAGCCCGCGTGCTCTTGCTGACGACACAACAGACAAGACACAACCACATTAGCCACACTAGACACGACCACAATGCTCCAACAACTTTGTCCTCTTGTTTGCACTCTCGGATTTTGCCTTTCGTTTCGTTATTTTCAGGCTATTGGGGAGAACTTGAAATATCTCACAACATTTTACATTTGGGATAGTTGCGACATCGCATTGTTTTCCATATATTAAATAGCACACATGTGTGAATGTGATATAGTAGTAGTAATAGTAGTAGTAAATAAAAAAAATAGAATTGGTTACCACTGAACTTAAATGATTGATTACTAATATTTTAAATCTCCAAAACTGTCTGGAATGGTTTATTTTCTTAAATCTTCTTGATTTCTTTACTTTCTCAATTGTCCTCTTTAATTTTATATTTCAGTCTTAAGATCTTAAAATGAAGTTTAAAATCTTTTTTGCAAAATAAAGATTAAAAGACAATTTAAACGCAATTTATAGCACTGAGACATTTCAAGTTTGTTTAATTCGTTGTATTAAATATGAATTGCCAGACTGTAAGTATATGTGTGATAACGATAATAAAATTTAAATAAACGTTGAGCGAAAATTAGCGGCGAATTAACGGCACAACTGAGATTAATATTTATACAATTTAAATTCTCTAACGTTCGTTATGATATATATAAACAAATATTTTCCTAAAATGTAAAATAAAATAAAAAGACAATTTCCATGTAAGAAAAAGAATTTTATAATTATACTATTATAATACAGATTAAAATGACAAAAATAAAATATATGAATTATACGAAATTGCAATTTTTTTTTAATTCTTACTAATTGTAAATGATTGTGCCTAAGAGATTTTGAACGATAACGAAACCGCACTTGATTGTTAAAATAGACCAAAGAGATATACGGCAATTCTTATTTATCGAAAAATCTGAAAAGATTTTATAAGCCATTATTATCTCGTCCGGTAAGTTGTCAATACAACAGTAAAGGTTTGCTCGAAAGGATATTTGATCGGAGGATCATACCAGAATTTTCTTTCGACAATATTTCTAGTCGATTGGAAGTTGATGGGATTAAGATCATCATTGGCAGATGATGCGAAATAAAAAATAGGCAACTTATTTAAGTGAAGCGCGACGCAAGCCAAGCTGTTAGATCGTTAAAGGAGTTTTTTCTTGTCTCTCTGTTCCTTTTCTTCCTTAAGATTAAAGAATTTCCAACTTTTAAACTCTATTCCGGTCTCTATTTTTTAAGTCTCTTATTCCGTCGAATTTCCAAGACCTGAGGAAAAAGAATCGATGGATCCTAAAATAAAGTCCAATGTACAATCTTTAACGATCCAATAATCCACATTGATCCTGATTAATATAACGAAGGATAAAAACGAGTGCGAGAGCATGCGAGCAAGCGGCACACTTAAAAAAAAACACATATAGACAATCCTTTGTTAAGGAGGAAGGACATTGTTATACATACCCATGGCCACACCATCATCATTTATTGTTATTTACAACGTTCTGTCACTACTAGTGAGAATTATTGCAACAATTTTGTCGCGCGAGTGTCGAACTAGAAAGCGAGTGGATCTCGATCATTTTCGTCGTCGATCAAACGTAATCGATACAGTTTGAATTTCTCTGCTCGGACGGTGTTAAAAACAGGTGATGTCAAACTGTATCAACTGTTATTAGTCGGCGCAATTGTTCGCCGATTTTTACTCTTTCTCTCTTTCCATTTACCCATTTGCTTTATCTCTAGAATATTGTGTATTGCGACAGAAAGTGGGTGACAGCCTAGTTTTTGCACAATCGATCAGTGAACGTCGGACAGTTATTTGTGAAAGCAAACAGTCGCGTTTGTCTTTAAAGAGCATACCTCGATTGCTGAAGCATTTCTGAAGACGAAGGAATAATGAACCTAAGAATTAACTTCTGGTGGGAACAAATTCAGGAAGGATGAGATGAACACGCTAGAAGCACTGTGAAAATAATATGAAGATGACCATTTGGAAGATTGGATGGAAGACAGGTTTTCAATTAAATTTGAAGACATAGTCTCAAAGATTGAAAACAGCACGAGATATAAGGATTTCAGAATCTGGGAGCAGATGAGGATCTATATTTTAAAAGACTTAACGAAATAAGGAGATGCGGGACAGAAAATTTAGGACTTTGAGAATCCAATATGCTGAAACAACAAGAGTAAAACGAGCTTGGAAATCTGAGCATTGATATGGTCATAAATGAAAAATCTAAAAATACGAAGGCTTAAGTTTCTCTCGACTAAACGAGATATTAAGAAGAGAAAGAACTCTTATCGCGCGATAAAGAGATGGATATCTTCGAAGTGGTCTTAAAGAGGAATGCTCCAGCAACACAGGGTGCGGCTCTGGTCTTTGAGCGATGGATTCTTGGAAACACAGGTAACAACATCGAGGCAAACAGTTTTGCAAACAGATTCGCAAATAACGGTTGATAACAGCTTGCCTGAGCGGACTCCTATAATGTGCTCCTACGGTGTCTGCCGCAGTGTACAGGTGCTGTAACCATAGAATACACTGACGTAGGGTGCCTCTACATAATGGGGGTCTAGCCTTCGACGTACCGGCTATGAAATATATGGGTTGTCGCAAGGAAACAAAGGACTTTTTTCGAAAATTCAATGAAGTATTCCTGAACTAATTTCTGAATTTAATCAATCTCTCATCTGAACATCTTATATCCGCACAAAGAGCTTTACGTTGAGCACACTTTCGATTGATCTCGGAACCGAACTTCTAACACTCGGGAGCGATTAGGGTAATTGTGACTCTGCGATATTTTCTTTTACGATAAATCTTATCACAATATCAAGTGCTTATTTTTATAAAAATATTTTGTAATTGATTGCACAATCTATTAATAGTGTTACTATATTCTCTTATATGATATAGCAACAGTACTTAATATAATTAATTACAAAATAATCATTGTTAATAAATTTGAAAATATAGCATTTCTCCTGTTCGAACCTACTTTTATTACATTTGTTTATGTTTCTGTGCAAAGATATTTTTCATTCCATTAAAAAATCCGAATGAACCGGGAGTAAAAGAATCGTTCAATCTATTAAAATAAAAAGAAATCTTTTCTCCAAATATTTTAATTCTTAGGCACATTAGAGACTTAAAAATTAAAAATTTTTGAATGTAATTTTTCAACAATTTAAAATCTTTTCCGCGTTACTAAATATGCAAGTATAAATTTTTCAGAATAATCCCATTTTTTAAATATAGTTTAATTTTGTTTTGTAGTTTATCGTGTTTTAACAGTACAAAATTTATATAAAAAGAGACTTATATTTTAAATATAATAGAAACTTGTATTACAAATGTAATAAATATCGTGTTAAAAGTGTCCGATTTCCTTTCATTTTCATGCATATCTTTATCATACTCCAAGGTTGCGTTCGAGAGTACATATAAGAATATTCGCCGGATAGTTTCGTTTATTTGGCTGCACATTTCCTGACATTATGTATATAATTCTCGGATTACCAATCAATAAAACAATTCATTCGATATTTTATTTTATCTGAGTAACACATGAAGAACTATAAAATATGTTTAAAAATATTAAGATATAAAAGATATATGTGAAAATAATAATAGCCCATGACAATATAAAAGCTGCATAAAAATAGCAAGAGAAAAAATCAAAATATTCAGTAAAAATGATCGGATTCATGTCAATAATCTTAGTAATCCAAGAATCATTAGTGACCGAGCACCATTGCAAGGTGTAGCAGTGCATCGGGTGCAAATCTGCAACACAAACTATGGGCATGCGACGATGTATTGAGCATGATTCTCGGTCACGTAGAGATTGAAATGCAGAGCGTGGAGATCCGGAATTGTAGAATTAAATTAAATCAGATCAGGAGTCTAAATATCTTAGTGAAATCTGGGAAAAATCCAGAAAAAAACAAGAAGTTACCAAATATATGTTAAGAGATGAATATATATTCAATAATAATATAAATCCAAGTTATAGAAAGATGCTAGAGATACACTGAAAAATCCAAAAGTTTTAAATTTTTAAAGGCTATAAAATTATAATTAACTTTTATTGCGATAATAATATTGAAACTTTCTGAAACTAACATCGAAAGACACAAGAGAATGTTTGACAAAAAATATTTTAGAAGTAAAATTGTACTAAGAGTAAAATATAAATATACAATATTTTAATTCAAGTAGATATGTCATAGAAGTACACATCTAAGATTTTATACATTTTCTTTAAACTATATATTCATTAGCAAATATGGAATCTAAAAGCTTTCTACATCAAACTAAATTTTTCAGAAAATATATTAATTGAAATTCTCCAATTCAAAGAATTGGACAAATTTGAATTTTAACAAAATCGAAATCTTCAACTTATAGATTGAAGCATTGATATCCGCACTTTTTTTCTTTCTCTTGTTTTTGTATTTCTTTTTGTAAACTTGTGATTTATATCTATCCGAATTGAATTACACATTCCTTGGGATTAACTAATAAAATTACTCTTTTACTTTCGGAAAATCTTCGAGAGTCGCCACGCTTTGCATTAATTGGACGTACGCCACACATTAATTACCCGAGCTTAAGAGCCTGGCCGCCGGCGCGGAGGCCCTCCTCACCCAACAGAGTAACTTGTTCTTCCTCACGGCTGGGATCTGCCATCTGCGACACGACACCTCCATGCTCAGCCTGGCAACAGACACAGGTCACCCCTCTTTCGCCCTATCTCCCGTTCCACTCGTTCATTCCAGACTCTTTTACTTTCGGTTTCGAAATTTTCTCCAACTCACCGGACTCGCCGAAGAAGAAGAAATTGTCTCTTCTTGAACTCGCGACAATAATTCTTTTAATGTCTGAACTACGTATAAGCCTAAATTCGTGATGCTTAACGCTAATATTAAGAGAATAAAGAAACAAGGAAAACTTTATTCTTTGAATCTCAAATTTGTAGGATGTAAATATTGTCTCAAAAAGATCAAAAATCGAATTATTAATATCAAAACGTAAAATTCAAAATGAAGTACTTATTTGTGCATAAACATCACGAATAATATAACATTCATGCAAATTTAATCCTTCCGAATCTATAAAAATGATAGTTAAAATATCGCTACTGACTATTAATACACAGCGCAATTCTATCCTATCTATGTATAATACATTAAGAACTATGATGAATTAATAATATAGAGAGAGAAAACATTATATATTGCATATAAATATATAATTTTGCTACACATGCTACATGCGAACAATTTCGTTCATTAATTCAATAAAGGCCATAATTATTTTTGAGTGTATCCACTCCAAATGTATTCCTTCAAACTATATCCAACTCTTTAATCGTACATATTTAAAGTTTATTCAACAAAAAAAACCAAAATATTTCTAATTATAATTTTTATTTATTTTCCAGGAATTTATCTATATTTGCAACATTTTACATATGGTTTTCACATACAGACTTTAGTAACAACAGTTTTAGTGTAATAATTAATTATGTTATATTAGAAATAATAAAACTAAAAACTTGGAATGTTTTAAATCATTGAACATGCTTCATACAAATATAAATTAAAAAACGTAGCAATGGCCTTTAAAGAATTAGTGTACAACGCATATTTTTCTAAGTAATTTTTAACATATTTACGTAAGATTGTAAACGTTAGTACAACTCATGCACATTGCTATTAATTGATCATTATTACCAATTGCAAGGCTTCATGCTTTTTATCGCACCCACAACTAGCTGTATGAGACTCTGCTATGATTTTAATGATCTTATGATGATCTTATAATGTTACATTACTTCCGATAATAATAAGATTATGTCTTATTTTCTTGCTACATCTATTATTTCACAAAACATTGATATTATTATTAATTTTTACTGGTCTCGACTGTTATTTGCTTGTAAAACTTCGGTGTCCCGATACATTTAAATTTCAATAGTTACTACTAATAAGAGAATTATTGCTAAATTATTTTATATTAAATTATTATATATATATTGTTCATTTGCATGTATCTGTTAAATAAATCAATTGCAATTCATATTCCCAAACATGCATGTTTTTCAAAAATTACGATACATATATATATATATATATATATTCATTACTTATTTATGCAAAAGGGAGAAAGTAAAATGATTAAGTGGAAAAAAGTGGGAGGAATAGATATTAACGAAAAAGAGAGATAACTCCCATATTAATACAAGATGAGTTTTTACAATAGTGGAAAATTAAACAATAAAATATAGAAATGTTTAATATTACTCTACAATATTTAGGCTATCAAATATTAAACAACTATAATAAAATGGAACTATTTCCCAAGGAATGTTTTCGCTACACATCTATATATTCTGAACAGTCGGATAATTATCATAATTTCTTGTCTATTAGTAAAACAACGAGATCTGCATTTATAGATAGGAAGATCATATTACAAAAGACTTAAGGCTGTATCTCGTCGTTTTATCGATGTACCAGCAGACTCAAAAGAAACTGAACACATTCAAAGACTAATTTGATTCTCAATTCATGTGCAGGAATGGGAGACACTGTCAATGCAAAGGGTACGACAATTACTGGTAATAATAAACATTGTGATCTCTCAAAAAAAACTCTTCGATGTTAATCACAATGTATAGTAACATTAACAATACAATTTTGAAGTCATAATACTGAACTTGTACGAAAACCGCGGCCGGATCGGACAATTGTTAAGGGACGTAAAGGGAGATAGGGCGCAGCGAGTGACTTGTGTCCTTTGCGATACTGACTTTTGGTTAGTTGGCAACACTAACACATTAATAATCCTAAAATCACTCAACATTATGATTAGTAACACACAATAAGAACATTCGATGCCTGACAGCTCATCGGAATGGAAATCTAGACTGTCAGCCTGTCAGACAGTCTCATCTTGTTCTCCTCTAAGTAGCTCCACTGCATTCGCTTAGACTTGCATAAGCGCGCGAAGAGACAGGACCTCCAGATATATCTAATTCGCACAATCTCCAGCCTTTCATGCATCAGAGAAAATCCAGCAGCTCGCAAACTCACTTCTGTCTCTTTCTCTCTTTTTTCCCTTCTAGCTCAATTAACGTTATCTTTTGACTCAATTAACAATACAATTTTCCCGCTATAAGAGACTGTAGAATTGTCACCTCAACGGGATTTTGTAAAATTTTCTCCATATTTTTTAGGAGATGCGACGATTGCATTCTAATGTATTACACATTGAGAGCAAGAAAATGTATTTGTTAAGCAAGTTTATGAACAAAATCCCATTAAGGTGATAAATTTTTTTCACACTAAAGCATATATTACAACATCCAATTGCTATTTTATGGTAGGAAAATCGTTCAATTTACACGTTAATCGATTTATGGAAATGTAGGCCAAACAAATGCGAGGCTGTAAGTTACGACATTAAATTTCACAATACGATTTTTTGTACATGTTTCTTTGTATATAAATCTAATCACAGCGAACACAGCAGAATGCTTTTTGTTCAATAATATTATAAGCCAAATAAATGCGCTTTATATATAGCCAATTGGTAGAAAATAGTTCTTATATGTCCATCGACTCAGCATTCAAAATAACCAGTTGATATCTACAGGCTGTTCTATAAATCATTAAAGTTCCCTTTACAAAATCCATTTAAATAGTACAAAATATTTATCGGATTAAGGAAAAAGCCCAAATAATTTTGCAATTCTATTAACAGCTTAATAAGTAGCAATTATTATTCTCTTTTTTAGATGACAAATCCCAAAATTGTGCTTAACAATTTGCTTGAAAAAGATTTATCTGGTTCTTATGCTAGAAACCTTAAGTGGAAAATTAAAATTTCCCAACTTTAGATGGTGACTCACCTCATCAAAGAAGACTTGAGTCTTTCGTAAGATGTGCTTCAGCTCAGTCAGCTCCAAGAAATTACGTTTCAGTGCTTCCGCATTCTGATTTACTTCTCGAAGTTCATTCTCCAATTTTTCAAAGGTTGCTTCTAAGTCGATCATCTCTCGGGGCTGTGGCGCCTCTGGATTTTCACCAGTGTCCAACATCGGGATCCCATCCTTCTTGATTTCCTTCTCAAGGTAGCGCAACTTGCGTTCCATTTCATCGCAGCGACGTACTTCATTGACGAATTTACGTTGGAAGGCGTTAACGTCAGGATTTAACTGCAACGTATCAAACACATTAGCATAAGAATGACAGTCATTGACATAATAACACATATATACAATGACGCTATCATAACAATGTACAAAGTCTATTTGTGCTGCTTCTGTGTTTTTAGAGCTCTTTACTAGAGAACAGCTGCAAGATAATATATCATTATACTATACATACATATTATCGTATATATATATATACGTACGCACATATATACACATGGATCATCGTTAACTTTAACACCAATAACCGTTGTTGAAGTTACCGATACCAATGAAAAATAGCGTGAAGATCAGTATAGAATTGAAGAAATCAAAATAAAGAGAAAGTAAGGAAAACCTCGAGACTTACATCACGAAACTGTACAAGACCAAGCTCACCGAGCTCAGAAACACAGGCATAAGCAGCTTCACTTTGCAAGAACAACTGACACAAGGTCATCTCCTCACTACGGAAGAGCGAACCCATCTTCGAAGATGAGTATAATATGTCGATGATACGTTGAAACCGGTTACTCAAGGAGCATCAAAGCCAGTCCGAAGGTTACGATTCGTCGTAATACTCAACCACTCCTTCGTCCTCTTGGAACCGCCACTGTCTGGAACCGCAACCGTGGAAGTCGCAACAGCCAGACGACTATCGATCCAAACGGTCACGAGTGCGCGAGCGCAGGTCACGTGATGGTGAGCGAGGGCCACATGATTAGCTTAAAAAAGTCGAGTGACCTCGCTACACCCATCGCGACGTCGACGTCACCGTGTGGAAATACAATCGACATTAGCGCCATTGCTTGCCTCCCTGCAATTATAATGTAGAACTTTGATAAGACAAGGAAAAACAAGATAGACAAGAATAAATATTTCTCACGATAAATATACGTATAAATATATATATTTGAGTGTATGTGTGTGTATACACATATGCACATGAAAAAAGATGACATAAGCGATTTGTAAAAGCATAGATAGTGACTTGCTAGGAACAAATCGGACACATGGAATTGGTTACGTTGAATTATTAGAGATAGATTTCAAATAAATAAGTTTTATATCATACGTACTATACATAAGCGAAAAATAAGTTACATTGCACTTTTATTAATGTCTAATTGCTGCGTGTATCTCAATAACCTCAGATGGCAGAATATTCTCATATAATTCTTATATAATTGTCATTTTTCGTCTGACAATCAATGTAACGATTTTTTATCGAATGGCAGCCAATAGTAAAAAAATTATTTCAGAGCAAAAACTTTGACAGCTATAATAAAGCTACAAAAAATGCAATGAAAACAGTTATTTGTTCCAGCAAAATGATTCATACAAAAGAAGTGTAATTCGCGCGTCTTGAAGTAAGCTTGCACTAGCATCGTGTGATCTCGCAAACAGAGGGAGCTTTATATTAGCACTTTATATTTGAATATATTCAAATTTAAGGTCACATATTTACATAATTGGTATTTGATATATTGAAAGTAAAATTCATAGGTGGCGGAAATACCAAGAAGGAAGGGTTAAATATCAAATTTCCTTTTGGTACGTAGGCAATCTGAAAAGTTCTCGGCCTGATAATGAAAGAAAATTTTTTTTGCCGTGAAATATATTTTATTTTTCAATATAATCTCCTGAAACTTCAATACATTTATTCCAACGTTTTTCCAATAATTCAATACCATTATTAAAGTGTAATTCTGGAAGATCTGCAAAATATCCATCCACGGCTGCAATAGCTTCGTCATTTGATGTAAAATGCTTTCCAGCCAGGAATTTTTTCAGGTTTGGAAACAGATAATAGTCAGAGGGAGCCAAATCTGGTGAATACGCTGCATGTTCAAGCAATTCGTACTTCAAGTAATTCGTTGAATTTTGCCATTGTCAAAACATTTGTGTGAACACGTGCATTGTCTTGATGGAAAACGATTCTTTTCTTCTTTAAAGCAGGTCTTTTCTCACGAATTTTTGCATCCAATAGATCCAAAAGGTTACAATAATATTTAGAGTTAATCGTTTTATCTTTCTGAAGATAATCGATCAACAAAACACCTTTGTAATCCCAAAAAACTGTTGCCATAACTTTTCCTGCTGATGGAACCGTCTTTACTTTCTTTGGTGCACGTCCACCGGCTTCAATCCATTGTTTCGACTGTTCTTTTCGCTCTGGTGTATAGTGGTGAATCTAAGTTTCATCAACAGTTATGAAACGATGCTTGAAATCCATTTTATTTTTCTTAAAACGATCCAAACACGCTTGAGAAATACGCATTCGAATGCGTTTTTGGTCAATTGTTAGCAAATGCGGCATCCATCTTGCATAAAGCTTTTTCAAATGTAATTCTTCATGCAAAATATTTCCAATTCGTTCTTTTGAGATGTCTATGGCCTCAGCTATTTCATGCATTTTCATTCGCTGATCATCTAACACCATATCATGGACTTGTTGAATGTTTTATGGTGTTGTAGCAGTTTTTGGACAGCCTTCGCGTGGATCATCTTCGAGACTTGTACGACCAGATTTAAAAAGAGCAACCCATTTTTTCACAGTGGAAAGTGAAGGTGATGCATCCTTATACACTTTTAACAATTTCGGATGAATTTTTGTTGATGTTAAACCATTCAAAACAAAGAATTTAATCACTGCACGATATTCAATTTTTACCATTTTAAAAAAGACAATGACACGTCAATATTAAACTGGTGCTACTACTCGAATGACTTGACAGATCGAAATAAAATTTTACATGGGTTTATATCAGGGATGCCATTTTCCAATACAACTATAGTTTGGCAGTTTCTAATGCCATCTATATGTCAGGCCGAGAACTTTTCAGACTGCACTCGTATTTAGCGAACGAAGGATGCTGATTTCCAATGCTAAGGTGTTTATTATACGAATTGCTCACGATTCAAGGACATATATGAATTTTGCCTTAATGCGGAAAGAACGACCATTTATCTTTATGCCTGAGTAAATTTCATATGTTAGAAAACGGAGGAGATAAAAATATTATTACGAAAGATGATATTGTTAAAAATAAATACAATAATGAAAAGTTTTCAGGATGTTTCTTGAGCTTCTAAACACAAATTTCTAGCTTAAATTTCGAACTTCGAGAACTCTCAGATTTCGAATGATGAATATAATGACGGCGAAAATTGTGGCAAATTAAATTATTAAAATTAAACGCGAATATTAATTCATAGTAAATTTCGATTTTTAATTTAATTAGGTAACTTTGAAAATCGTTAAAATATTGAGTCTCTTTTAAATTGTAACAGTAAAGATTATCTTGTCTTTTTCAAATGCAAACCTTACACATGTTTATAACATACACAACTAGCTTATTTTTTTTTCACATGCGTCAACGATGTTCGCAAAATAAATTATTTTCAGTTCAAGAGCAATAGAGTTCAAGCTCTTCATACTTATATTCAGTCACAAAGTTCTTGATGCCTCTGAAGCAAAAAATGCAAATTGCTCAAGGATACAATGAATTGGTTAGAGTTCGGACACCGAGAAGTTGTATTTATCCTTGAGGATTGAAATCACTGTTGTCTCTTTATCAACTTGTACGGAACGCAATAACGGAACTATCGATTGCAGAACCTTATGTTACAACGGAAGATGAACCAAAAGAAATACAAAAATGTAATTCTTTGATAAAGTCATAAAAGATAACATAAAGTCAACAAGATAACAGAAATTTATATGAATTGAGATAGAGAGCTTAATTTTACAACACATAATATCTTTATTACATATAACGAAATAAATACTTGATAAAAAATTTTTCAATATATCTTGAGCACATCTAGAATGATCTCAAAAAGTGTTGTACTGAATTATTTTTACAAAATATGAAATTTGTTTTATTATAATTTATATGATCGCTCACACACGCGCACATGTACAACGTGTTAATGTAAAATTAAAGACTTTAGAAGACTTTAAAAATTGACATTATTAAAAGAAATGAGAAGTAGGAAATATTTTTATAATAGCTGGGTACCAAACAATCCAAGTTCCGTCACTGCACTGGTTAGTATATATTTGAAGAAGCTGAGTCGATCCTTCCTCTTAGTTTTGTATAAACTCTTACGTTGGATGGTGAATCAGTTTTTTAAGAAACATACATAAGAGAGACGCGTGAATCGCTACGATCATCACGTAGATCGATCGTCAAATTGATCGACCAAAGATACATCCTTTTAATTTTCTTCATTTCTTCCAATTTATAAATATCTAGCGCATAGCTAAAGATAAATATATTGGTAAGTATACATCTCAAAACATTATTCTTAAGCAAGCGATTTTTTTTTTAAATAGAATTCCCACCTAAGAAAACTTTATTAATACATTTATTTGAAATTTTTATCATAAAATATGAAATATAATTTTATCATAAAATATAAAATGTTCGAAAATTTATGCAGACCTTGACTATGCTTTATAGTCCAATATAGGATTAAGGAATCATTCCCAACAAACATGATTGCGCAAGTTATTTCAAGAATACGTCCTGCTATTGATATTATATCATAACAAGATTTTCAAATACTAAGTGGCTTCCAATGATAACCATATATATATCAAACATGTTATAACGTCTAATATGTTCGAAATGCATGAAATGGGAAATCTGTTCCTATTTTTTTTTCATCCTTTAAATTTTGTACATTTAGTTGAAATGGATACATGAAGCTTCTAAGAAATATGAACGATATACGTAATTATTTATATCAATTTTATTTAGTCATTTCTTAATTATCTTCTTTAACATATTTATTTTTTCTTTGTTGATTATATGAAGCAGATAAGTTTTTATCGCATATGCATTCATGAGAAATATGTGGCTAGGGATAATGATTAGAAACTTTTAATAGCTATTGATCTATCGACAATAAAACGCCCGCGGGACTGAGTGTACACAAAATCTTCGAATGTTTCGTATAATGCGTACGCTATAATATTATATATTGATATTCTCTATAAAACAGCTTACAGTAAATAATCTATGCATATTGGCATATTGCTTGTTATTTCTTAAATTAGAATTAGCGAGATCATAGAAAAAAACTACATTTACTAGGTCTAAATAAATAAATATTATACTTACTTGAACAGTCTCGCCGTTTTGTCACAAACAATATGAAGCCATCGGTTACTGTAAATAATTCTCGGTTACTGTAAAGTGTAAATAATTTATAGTTAACTCTAAGTAACTTTGGGTAACTATAAGTAACTTTAAGTTAATTTGAACATCTTAAAGTAATTTTTCCTAAGGGTGCTTCCTAAGGTACTTTGTCGTAGAAAATCGCTTTATTGCATCAAAAGCGCATTGTGTAGCTAGTTACGTGTGCGACACGTCACAAAATATTTATCAGCATTCGCACATCCATATGCAGTTCGCGATAGTCGAACGATATCGTTAAAGAAATAGCACACACCTTGGTACGTTTGTTTCTGCGCATTGTTTTCGTTTTCATTGCAGACTGCAAAGAGATGCAAACGAGGATGGTGTCATACGAAGAGTATTTTAATTAACATTGCCACCATTCAAAGACGTTTTTGCGGCTCATCTTATAATTTAGAATCAAATTAGTCGTTATGGCGTTAGGTATGCGAAACGTTCTCTTCGCGTTCGTAGTTATTACGATCCTCACCGAAGGAGAATCGCAATTAGGAGTAGATTTCACGTTTCTCCAGCAAGTAGTTGTAGACTACCTCTTCCCTAAAGATCCGGGTTTAGTGAGAGTGAGGAACATGGATCAGGAGAGAGGGCTAGGAGGCACAATAGTATTGGATTTTGTAAGTATTATAAAATTATTATTACAGTTTAAAACACAGTTACTATTATTACAGTTTAAAAAAAGTAAATTATTAATATTAAATATTATAATATCGAACTCTGCACTTAAGTCTTGTCTTTGAAGTAAACAGAACTTAGAGTAAAAAAAATCGTTCATGATCGGAATGAGAGCTCAAAGTTTGCAATATTGCATATGCTTATGTAGTTTTTTTCTGCACGCAGATCGGGTTGGTGGAGCAATTCGGTTATCCCGCTGAGGAGCATGACATTACAACGGAGGATGGTTACAATTTGCAAATACATCGAATACCTGGGAGTCCACAGTGGAGAAAAAAAGAGAAAAAAAAGATTGTGTTTATGCAACATGGTATTTTTGCCTCGTCTGACAGCTGGGTGATATTCGGTCCTGGCAAAGACCTCGGTACGCGTCTGCAACAATTAAAGATAACGCTTTTATAATGTTACATTGAAGTATGCGAATCAACTCGTAGCACAGTAAAATTCGCATAAAATTCCTAACAAATTGATATTTTCTTAGCAATATGTCAAAATCTTATTTCCTCTTGAGAATCAAAATATTTTTTTAGAATTTATGTACATTAATTGAGATTTAATGGAATTTCTCAGCTGAGAATGTGTTTCTCACAGTGACTACGATGCTTTATGTTACTATCTGAAAAAGTAAAAAATGACAATGATGCTGGAGTTTTTAAGTTATTTTTACTTCAGTAAAAATAATTTAGAGTTTTTATAGTTTATTTATAGTTAGAAATATTTTTTTTATTTTTGGAGTTTTTTAGATTTTAGAGTTTTTATAGTTTTATAGAGGTAAAATAGTTTGGAGTTTTTAAGTTATTTTTATTTTAATAAAAATTTTTAAAATAGGGAAATGTGAATAATGAATAATATTTTGATCAGGGAACTATGTATAACAATGTTTTTTTTTTCATAAAGTTTGAACACTTCAAATAGAACTTATCACAATAGCATATCACAGAATTCAGTCATTTGATAATTAAATTTTGTTTAGCATCGAACCTCTGTATTACCCTATTACACGATTATACAAAAGAGTGTTTTTTACTAAAGAGATTTACTAAAATAAAAATAACTTAGAAACTCCAAAAGAGTGAATTAACACAACCTAATACCATACTAAAGTAAAAGTTATTTTAAGTTTTTACTAAAGTAAATTTTATTAAAGTTAATTTACTCTTTTGGAGTTGTTAAGTTATTTTTATTAAAGTAAAAATAACTTAAAACCTCCAAAAGAGTAAACCTAATACCGTATGTTTGCGCCAATTTTATTGTTATTTTATTTTATAGCGTTCTTATTGGCCGATCAAGGATACGATGTGTGGATTGGAAATGTCAGAGGAAATAGCTATGGCAGATCGCATGTGAATATGACGGTTTACGATCGCAAGTTCTGGCAATTTAGGTAAAACGTTACGTTGAAAATAATTTTGAAAGAAAATGCTCACACTAAATAATAAAATAATTAAATAAGATTTTTCTGTTCGACATTGTATTTATCAAGATTTTTTAATTTCAGCTTTCATGAGATGGCAATAATGGATCTGCCAGCTATATTCGATTATATTTTTAATCATACCGGACAAAAAAGCATGCATTACATCGGTCACTCGATGGGAACAACGATGTTGTTCATTCTCCTATCAATGAAACCGGAGTATAATGCAAAGATAGAACTAAGTATTTGCTTTACTCCAGTTGCTTCATGGAAGGAAGTTTCACCTACATTTAGACAAATTGCTTATACAGCGCCAGTAGTGACGGTAAACATTAAGAAAAATCCATTTTTGCGATTATAACTTAATATATTTCTCACATACATTCTTCAAAAGTATATTATTCTGAAACATATACACTAAAGATACACGTAAAATAATTACTGTTTTCTTTTTTTATTAATGCATTATGTATAAATATTATACTGATGCATTGTGTATAAATATCTGCGTATTTGCTGATTGTCATGCAGGAACTTCTCGCTAGATACAACGTATACGATATCTTTGCGCAATGTGCATCAATCATTACAACATTAAGAGCACTTTGTCACGACGGGGCAGCTACTCAATCTATTTGTATTACGATACTCTTTTTAATCGTAGGTGCTGATCCGCCACAACTTAATACTGTAAGTTAAATTTCACTTATTTCCGTAACATTATTATCTATTTTTCTTTTTTATGACTATTTCAAATACTTTTTTTATTTCTCTTTATAATCTACTATTCTTTTTTATAAAAAAAATATAACAGAAGAGATTGTTGATGCTTGGCATAAAATATTTATTTGCATTAATTATAGTTTCCGGTTTAATGATGTCTTGGATATTTCGTCATCCAACATAAATTGTTTCTGTTATATAGACGGCACTGCCATATCTATTGTCTCATATTCCAGCCGGTACTTCCGTACAAACACTTCATCACTTTTATCAAAATATGTTTGTAGGTAAGCATTCCTTTTCTTTTTAAATACATATAATAATAATATATCTATCGAATGTACAATATTACGACAAAAGATTTCTGTTATTAAATTTTGATATTATCAATCTTATATGAGCTCTTGTAAATATATCGATTAGAGATGTGCGAACTATTCGAATTCGAATCGAATCGAATCGAATGTAATGTAATTCGATTCGATTAGAATCTGAATCCCTATAATTCGAATCCGAATAATTCGAATAGGAATCAAATACATTATCGTTTGCGTGCATCAGGTACAAAACGGGCCATCTGGGCTTGTATGTCTGAACCCTTAACTTGTAATTAACTTAACTTATAATTAATAACTTAAATATAAATTACTTTAAATATTTAAATATATATTTTACTTTAAAATGATACTACAATATTCCCTTTCATATTAAACTCTTCCATCATTATTTACATATTTAATAGTCATGTTAAATTTTTTAATGATTCGATTCGATTTTATTCGATTCGATTCGAATTCGAATTTAAAAAATGAGATTCGATTCGATTCGATTCGACATAAAAATTCTTGATTCGCACATCTCTAATATCGATAAATCAATTGTAAATAGATCGATATTAATTCATGTAATATTACAGATAATTTCCAAAGTTTTGATTATGGATCCGAGGGTAACAACGAGCGATATAAACAAAAAACACCTATAAACTATGATCTTAGCAAAATCACCGCGCCGATTGCTCTATTTTACGCATCTAATGATGCGGTTGTTGCAGAGACGGTAATATTTTTCTTTTTGAAAATTGGCCGTTTGTCCTAGATCGGAAAAAATAGAAAGAAGAAAGATATTTTGTGATATGATGAAGTTACAGTACATATAATTTTTATCGACGCGAAACGATAAAATTTAATTAACCAAATTATGACGCGAAATAATTCTAATTGACATCGAAAATTAATTAATTATTCACTTTAGAAGACGATACTTAAGCCTGTATTTATCTTTTTTTCTTGCAGAATGTATTGGAAGTAGCAAAACATTTGCCTAATGTTGTTTTAATAGAAAAAGTGCAGTATGAATCCTTCAACCATGTAGATTTCCTATGGGGAATTGACGCAAATATTCTTTTATATGATCGAGTAATAGACATAATACGGAGGTTCAATGCTAAACAAAATTAAATTATCAATTGACTGAATTTTATGATATGCATGGATATTTTCTATTTGAAGTATTAAAATTTTATAGAAAAAAAATACATTGTTATACATATTTCCCTGATCAAAATATTATTCATTATTCCCTATTCATTTCCCTATTTAAAAAAACGCATTTTCTCCAATTTTCTGGATGTCTTATAGTGAAAGTATATTTATTAGCGTACTATATTAATAAAATAAAAGCATATTAAATTAATAAAATATGTTTTAAATTGAGGCAACTGAATTGTAATTGAATCAATGATAATCAACAGCAAGATAACGAGTTGAGTTTTTTCTCTTTTTATTTGCTTTACATATATATTGAAAATATTATATACACAATAGTACATGGTTTGCACTTATATTATATATAATATTTAATTATAACATTATAACTGCTTCATATTTTATATGAGCTCATTGTATATTTATTTTAGTATGAAAATGCATATGTTATGGGATTATTTAAAAAATCATGCTGCACCATCCTAGTATGAGACAGAAACCTCCTATAGGTGTTGTCTTATTAAATCGTCGATCATTGGTAAAAGCAGTGTAATAACAGCTGCCACAAAACAGAACAATTCCAGAGAGCATGAATGTAGCAGCCTGCAATAAAGTATAAAATCTTAAGATATATGTCATGATATACAACTAAACTATTATATATCACAATTATTATACAACACAACAATTCTTATTATACAACACAACAATCCTTATGAACAGATAAGATCAGTGATAATTTAACGTACCATGGATGGAACTCTGCAGAGTGGTAATCCTAATAGAGCCAAAGTATGTATGAAGTGATAACGATTTGCCGTTTCAAAAATACGACGCTGTTCCTGTCCTTCCTCATCTTTGGAATAATGCCCTGTGAAACAAAATATATGTTATTTAAAGTTTGCACTTGTACATTATCTAAATGAACATAATACAGCTAAGCAAATATTTATTAACTGTGAGATCCAATAGCACCCAGTACTACAGCCATTGCTCCACTCAAAGCTGCAAACTTGACATATGGTCCACTGGCAGCAGCTAATTTCCATATATACACTGGCTCAGCCATTTTTACTTGGACTTTTGGTTTTAGTCCTAGGTATTCTGTGGCCTGAGGATAATTGACAAAGAAATAAAGTTATACATGGTAAATAACATAAGTTCTTGAGTTTAATATATTCAATACTGAAAATATTTCAGCATTAATTATGGTTGATAATTTTTCACACAAGATATTTATAAATATACTTAAAACATTTGCCATATATAATATAGTAAAAATAATTTGAATGACAACCTATAAAAATAACATAGTAATATTATATAGATAAAAGTACTTGAAACCCCATATATTAGTGTTTGATAAAACTCTATATATATATATATATATATATGACATTGCATATTGCAAACATATGAAAATAAAAAAACTTGTACCATAAACATCAATGAATAATTATATTATTATTAATACTTGATTATAATTAAATATAATTTATCAGTCTAACAATATAAACAGGAAAATGAGGCAACTATCGAACCGAGTTAATTAACCAAGCTGTTGGCTCTAATGAATCTGAACTTAATAAACTCATGAGAAACTGTATGAACCATCATAGTATGAACCATTATACACCATTATACCGGTATGAACTATTATACACAGGAGTCACAAACTGTCAGAAAATACACAGACAATTTATAACATATAACATTAAGCATTAATCATTAAAGCATATTAATTATAAGCAATATACGCAATAAAAGCTTTGATTCAATCATATTTTCTTGTTCTTGCATCTAGATAAAATAGCTTTGTTCAGAAAGCTTTGAACAAAGTAGAAGGCAAATGTAAAGTGCAAGTACAATTAAAATTTCTAGTTAGAATTCAAAAAGGAACAATATCTGTGAAATAATGCTGACAAATATATCTATGTTCTTTCTTTAAATAGCACTTTCTATATTCGCAATGTCATTCTTTCTTTTCTTCCCAGTCCATACTCGAATGTGCAATTATGCGAACTCAATACAAAGTAGTGTGAAATGTAATGTATTGTAGCTGCAAGGAACGAACGTAGTCTAACAGACGATCGCGATCAGTGCAAAATATGCGTATGAATGCTGTCATCAAATAACAACCACTAATTGCATATACACTGTTGCGACTTACCGCTGCAGCGGTATGCCAAGCGTACGAGGCAGACACTTTACTCGTTTTATAAACAGCGTTAAGTGGCGCAGTAGCAATTGTGTACAATGCGTCCTGAAAGCTCATCCTGTGTTGCGTTGACACTGTGCACAAACTAAATACATTTATTACGTGCTATATGTTACTTATTGCAAACTATCGACAGACTCACCGGCAACCTGTATGATTTCCACTGCTGCCAGCAAAAGTGACTCACTCAGTATCGTCGTTTGCGTTCAGAAAACATAAAAGTTGCACAACGGTTGAGCAATTTGTCAAAATTATTGGTCTAAATCTTAAGGATCTAACAGTAAAGACCATGAGTGTCTAGTTTTCTAAATGCAATCATTAACCGCATTCGGCAGAAAAAGTTACTTATTAAACGCTTAGTAATTATCACTCCTGATTAGTTCGTACTCCTGGATCTATCGAAGATCTAAAAGAATACTCCAATCATAGATAATAATCACTAAGCGCTTAAGGCTGTTCTACAATAGGTGTAATAAGCTTTAAGCCTAAAGCGTCGTCTACAATGGCAGTAAGCAGTAAGAAGTAAGCGTGAACAGTAAGAAATGGACCAATCACAGTTGATTATTTTTGTCATAATCGACTGTGATTGGTTTATTTCTTACCGCTTACGCTTACTTCTTACTGCTTACTGCTATTGTAGACCATGCTTTAAAGGTCTCAGGCATCAGTTTTCGTAGGACACAACAATAAGGTTTCGACCAATTGTATTGCTCGTTTCAAATAGTTGCAGTTATGGACAGCCAAATATCAACGCGCGATTGATTGAAATCTTAAGCCTACGGCATACGATGCTTGTTTCCAATCAAAGCGTATACGATCTACCATGCAAGCTAATTTGCAAGCCATGATGCTAGAAATTTAGTATGCTGCGTGTTACGTGATGTCATGCATGTTAACATGTTGGTTTTCAAAAATAAAATCGGTGCTATTTTCACTGCGAAATTCGGTCTTATGTATAGATTCAATTGTATGTATAGATTATATATGTATAGATTAAACAAATTGCAAATGCTTTAAAGCGCTGTATATAACCTACAGACTCTTTTTAGTTATATATAAAATATGTAAAATTATATATATACATATAATTTTAACAAGTTACACACGTATCATGATACACACATAACAGAGGTCTAAATCCGACCGTGCACGCCTCCACGTGGTTCACCTTGGGTAATGCTAATGCCGGCGGTACTTTAACTTTCAGGCCTCATAACTTGCAAAGTACCTAATGGAAAAATACTTTATTATAGAGTTTTGCAAAGCTCTCGAGATAAACTATAAGAATATGTAATGAAAAATAGAGAGTTCTATTTAAAAAATTGAAGGTGATCTTCACGTGACCTTGAAAACGCTATTTAAGGTCATACTAATATCACTACCTGATATATCACTTAAAACCCTACAACTTTTGTCTGAAACATTTTTCTCTAACATGTCGTGTTTATGAAAAAATCGGGTGACCCGGAAGGTCTGAAACACCCCGTATATAGTTTTCCATGAATAAATTACACATTTTTTAAAATAAAGAATGCATTGAAATAGAGTTACATTTTTTTATAGTAATGACACCTGAATAATTCCCTTAAAGGTACACATTAAAACCTTCTCTGTATCAGAAAAACATCAAAGAATAAATTCATCGAATAAACATAGCACTTGAATTTTTGTTTTTAAGCTATTAACATTTTATTTCCCCATCTACCGTTATCTTATTTATATATTTGGTTTCTATGCCTGTCACACATGTTAGAAATGTGTTTATTATATTTATTATTTTGAGAGACATTTCGAGTTCCCGTCTGTCAATGCCGATATTTTAAAACAGACAAAGACATCACGGTTCTACTGAAAAAACAATATAATAATCTCAAAAATATTAAAATGTTACTCAACCGTCAGAAAGTAGTTTCAAAAATGCATTGTTTCTCTCTCTGTCTCTCTCTGTGTCTCTCTCTGTGTCTCTCTCTGTGTCTCTCTCTGTGCCTCTCTCTGTGTCTCTCTCTGTGCCTCTCTCTGTGCCTCTCTCTGTGCCTCTCTCTGTGTCTCTCTCTGTGTCTCTCTCTGTGTCTCTCTCTCTCTCTCTCTCTCTCTTTCTCTCTCTCTCTCTCTCTCTCTCTCTCTCTCTCTCTCTCTCTCGCTCTCTCGCTCTCTCTCTCGCTCTCTCTCTCTCGCTCTCTCTCTCGCTCTCTCTCTCTCTCTCTCTCTCTCTCTCTCTCTCTCTCTCTCTCTCTTTCTCTGTCTGTCTGTCTCTCTTTTTCAATAAAGGAAAATGTATATTTCTTCTTCTCCTTTAAATAATTAATAAATTTTGAAGCAATATGACATTACACTTGTATAGTGAAGATAGCTTTTGTTATGCTATACTATAAAAATAATATAATATAATGTTGAATGTGGTATATTGTGTACGAACAAAGAAAAGTATAATTATTGTACTTAAGAATGATATTACTCTGCCTACCAGAATTGTTACATTCTGATTTCAAGAAGACGAAAGATATAGCAAATGTCATTACATCGGAGTTGTTGTGTCCCAGGTAGTAGACTGACGTCAAATGACGCACTAATGACGTCTTAATGACCTCTCTAACGGCTGGCAGGAGTATTAATTCTTCTTTCAGCTAGGAAGTGCGTTCATCCTTTTGAATAATTTAATAATAATTTAATTTAATAATAAGTGAGGAGGTTTTAGTGGATGGATAGGAATGGATGATAATTAACCAGCTTTGCAAATACGCTCGGCGCTGGCGCATTTCATAAGGCAAAAAGCATTCCATGGAATTCGACGGTTTAAAGTAAAGTAAACACACATAGATACAGCTATATGTACTTATAAGTACGCATGTGCGTATGAGTTCACATTGTTTGGAAATCGTAGCGAGATTAATGCATGCCGCGGGAGATCTATGATGCCGATATTGCTGGCGTTTAATACACGCATCACCATATTTATTAAGCCACTTAATATAAATTATAAATAGAAATAAATGTAATAATATTTAATAAAGGGGAAGTTAGGTTCGTTACATTTTCAAAAACAATTTCGTTGGTTACTCCTTGAGACATGCAAAAAGTATAAGTAAACATATAATGATACACAAATATAGTAACGTAATATGTAGATATCTCCTTAGTGTTCTCCGAACAGTCGCTCAGGGTCTGTGTAAACTGTGAAAGCAGAATTTTGTTATTTCCACCATGAGGTACCGAATTCCACACATACTTATAAATTAATATTACAAAGAACGCGTTTCTATAAATATTCATTATATCAAAATATTGGCATATTTTCAACAGAACAATGTCATTGTCTCGTCAATATGAACATTTTAACATCGACATGTCTGAGGTACCACCGCAATTTTCACCATGGGGGGACAGTTATTCAATCAGGAATTATCGTAATCACTTCAATCCAAATGTTTGTCACCTTTGCAAGCTGGATGTGAAAAAAATACGGATATCTAAGGAAGACTACACTTTATGTCATTTGTGTAAGATGATTCTTTTCTGTAGCCACGATCACGCATCAATACATTCAGGGAATCATGCAGAGATCTGCGACGTTTTAAAAAAACTTTCACGTAAATATCCGCAATATTGGCGAACTAAGAATTTCAGTCGGGAGGATTGGATCCAGTCAAGGAAGGATCTTTTAGATATAGTTCAAAAGAAGTTGCAACGTGATATGAAGCTGTACGAAATACAGATGATTATGTTCGCAAAATCATGTTTTATTTGTCATAAACAGCGTAATCTTCAAGCTTGTACAGGGTGTTTTTGTGTGAATTATTGTTCGAATCATGCAGAAGATTTTGAAAATTATCACAGTCCAAATTGCGTCAAATTGAAGTCGTGTCTCGAAACAGATTATTACTTATTTCGTACACCATTATGTTATTATAGATACTATTGGGTTAATACATTCACTATGCGTAATGTTGTTGACATGCAACAATTTATTACATCATTTATGAATTATAAACCTGATCATTTAAACAAATTTTATTCTGATTATCTGTCAGGACCGTTGACACTATATGGGATGATAGGCGATTATCTCGATATACAAGATTCGCATTATATCGTTCATATAATACAAACAAAAGTTTTAGATGTACAATATGTACTGGCCTGGGAAATTATGCTGCATGCATTACGCACACTACAGCATCTAGAAGTTGTCCTGATAGGAACAGAACTGGATACGGATGTACACGTAAAAGTTAACGTTTGTTTGTTCTGCGTCCGATTCGGAAAAACATTTGAGTTTCAATATAACTGCCATATGCAGTTTGACGATTATCTTGACTATATGCTTTTATCAAAGTCACAACCACGACCAAATGTAATTATAGCTTTTGAAACAGATATTAGTGATTTGGATTTACGAGCGGAAGTAATTTTAAAACTAAGGAAACAATCTTGTCCTTTTATTGTAACTGCCGGTTCACTCTTCAAATTCCAAAGGAACGTGCACGAGTTAAAAAAAATTTTACGTGCACCATTAGATTTAACACCAATTGAAAATAAATTTAGTTCTGTTAGAGCATACAGGAATTTCGAGGACGATGACGTGTCTTTTCGTAATAAGTTTCTAATTATTTTTAAGAAATTACGTAATTTATACAAGTTACATAAAAAACCGAATAATACTGATTCAAGTTGTTCGTGAGTAGAATTCTTGCGAGACTGAATTTCTAATGATCATTATTATAATAGATAAAAGTAAAAGTATACATTATTGATAATATTTTTGACCAGCGGTACACCTATTGTGATTTCGAATTGCAGCCAATGTAAAAAATTTGTTGCTCTACTTTATTTGACACTTCTATATAATAATTAATTTGATAAATTTGCTCTTTCATTTAAAACTTAAAACTTCCGTATATATATAAAATATGAGTTTTGTAACATTATTGTAACCCCATAATGCAAAAGGTGATGTATGAATTAATAGAATTATATATATAATTTTATATCTATGAATGAATTATTATATATTTTTTTTAAATAAAGAATGCATTGAATTAGAATTACATTTTTTCGTGGTAATAATATATGTATAATATCCTTTAAAGGTACACATTAAAATCTTCTCTATATTAGAAAAACATCAAAAAATAAATTTATCCAATAGACGTACGTCCCGAATTTTATTTTTTAAGATATTAACATTTTATTTCCTGATCTACTGTTATTTTATATTTTATTTGCTATTATTATATATTTGGTTTCTATGTCTATCACGCATATTAGAGATATGTTTATCATATTTATTATTTTAAGGGACATTTCAAGTTTCTGTCTGTCAGTGCCGTCAGTCAGTCATCTTCTAAAACAGTCAAAAACATGACGCTTCCACTGGAAACAAATATAATAATCTGAAAAACACTGAAATGTAACTTAACCATTAGAAAGCAATTTTAAAAATCCTTTGTAATGCACACACATACACACACATACTCTTTCTCTCTCTCTCTCTCTCTCTCTTTCTCTCTTTCTCTCTTTCTCTCTCTCTCTTGCCAAGAGGTAATATTAACATATATTTTCTTCTCTCTGAATGATTCTTAAATTTCGAAGTAACTCGACAAGTGCATTTGATGGAGAAGTCGGCTTACGTTATGCCATACTGCGTAAAATTATATTACGTTCATTATGGTATACTATATTATGGTACACCAACAAAGAAAACTAAATTTATTGTATTTAAGTACGATATTATTCTTCCTATAAGAATTATTATATTCTGATCTCAAGAAGACGAAAAAGTGTCATTGTATCGGAGATGTTGCGTATTAATTCTTTTTTAAGTTAGGAAGTGCGTTCGTCCTTTTGGATAATTAGTGAAAGTGTTTCAGTGCATGGATAGGAATGGATAATAATTAACCACTTTGCAGATACGCTCGGCTTCGGCGCATTCCATAGAGCAAACAATATATTCCGTGGAATTCGACTGTTCAAAGTAAAATAAATACACAACCATTTGCACGCATGCTTGTATGCGTTTATGGCTGCGATCCGATAGTCATTGCCAGTACTGAAAATATATAGTTTGTGTCACATACACTATAGATTTTCAGTGCTGACGGTGAATATCGGAATGTAACTTATATTGTTTGGAAATCGTAACGAGATTAATATATGCCGCGGAAGATGCATGATACCGATGGCTATATTGCTAACGTTTAATAAGCGCATCATGTTATATCTATATATATATATATTTTTACTAAGCCACTTAATACAAATTATAAATGGAAATTAATGTAATAATATTCAATAAAAAGGAAGTTAGGTTCGTTACATTTTCAAAGACAATTTCGTTTGCTGCTCCTTGAGACATGCAAAAAATATAAATAAACATGCAGCAATACACAATACACAAATATAACAACATAATATATAGATATTTTCTTGATGTTCTCCGAACAGTCGCTAAGTGTACGCGCAACTCGTGCAAGCAAAATTTTATTATTCCCGTTAAGAGGTACCGAATGTTGCATATTACTTATAAATCAATATTTTAAAGAATGCGTTTCCATAAATATTCATTACATTAAAATATTGGCATATCTCCAACAGAAGAATCTCGTCGTTTCGTCAACAAGAAGAGCGTAACACCGGCATGTCTGAGATACATCCATTATTTTCACCATGGAATGTCAGTCGTCCAGAAACTGAGACTTATCGCAACTTCTTCAATCCAAATATTTGTCATATTTGTAAGAAAGATCCGAAAAAATCGCAGTTCTATCGTGAAAATTACAATATAGATTGTTCGTGTAACATGATTCTTTACTGTAGCAGCAATCACGAATTAGAAGATAAAACGAATCATGAAGAGATCTGCAAAATTTTAAGAAAGCTTTCACATAGTCACCCGATATTTTGGCTAAATCATAATTTCGTTCGGGACAATTGGGTCAAGTCGAGGAAAGACCTTTTACGTATAGTCAAAGTGGAGTTGCAACGTGATATGAAGCCGTACGAAGTACAGATGATCATGTTTGCTAAATCGTGTTTTATTTGTCACGAGCAACGTAATCTTCAAACTTGTACGGAGTGCTACTGCGTGAACTATTGTTCGAATCATGCACAAGCTTTGAAATATCATTACATTTCAAATTGCGCCAGATTGAAGTCGTGTCTCCAAGCAGATCAATACTTACAATTAGACTATAGAGTAACTTATAATAAATTTTCAGAGGTTTATTTAGTCACTATGCTCAATGTTGTTAACATGCAAGAATTCATTGAAACATTTGCGAGTTACCAACCTGATCATTTAAAGAAATTCTATTCTGATTACCTATCAGGACCGTTGACTCTGTATTATTATGGAATAATGAATCAAATTATACATATACAAGATGCGCATTATGTCGTTCATATAATACACGCAAATATTGTAGATGCACAATATATACTAGCCTGGGAAACCTTGCTGCATACTATAGCAAAGAAACTAAATCATCTACAAGTTGTATTGATAGGATCAGAAATGCAGAACGTATACGTAAATGTCGAACTTTGTGAGCTCTGCAAACTACTTAAGAGGAAATTCGGGATACAAGGTTGCCGCATGTCCTTTCGCGATTATGCTAACATCATTAAATTATATAAGCTACCAAATATAATTATAACATTTGAAGCAGATCTTAATGAATGGGATTTAGCGGAAATAATTCCAACATTAAAAAGTTTATCTTGTCCTTTTATTGTAACCGCCGGGTCGCTCTTCAAATTCGAAAGGAACATGCAGGAGTTAAATAAAATTCTGCCTGCACCATTGGATTTACCACCAATCTTAAATAAATTTGGTTCTCTTAAGGCATACAGAAATTTGGAGGATAATGACGTATCTTATCGTAATAAGTTTTTGATTATTTTTAAGAGTTTAAGTGATTTATTTAACTTACATAATAAACCGGTTAATTATAGTGCAGGGTCTTCAATATTGGCAAAACTTTTGTAACATTGAAGTTTTGAAGATCATTATTATAATAGATAAAAGTAAAAGTATACATTATTGATAATATTTTTCAACAGCAACCTACTGTAGTTTCGAATTACAGCCGATATGAAAAATCTGTTGCTCTAATTTGTTTAACAAGTTTCACATAAGAATTAATTTGAAAAATTTGCTTTTTCATACCACTTAAAATTCTCGTATACATATAATATATTCATTATAATATCAATTCAGTATAATATCAATTTTGTAATATTATTGTAACAATAACGCAAGAGATGATGTACGAATTGACATATATACGTAAATTTATTTCCATGAATGAATTGTACATTTTTTTAAGATAAAGTATGCACTGAGTTAGAGTTTTTACACGGTAATTTATACATTTTTACACAGTAACAAAACCTAAATTATCCTCTTAAAAAGATGATTATAAAGATAAAGATTAGATAATAATCCTCTTCAAGATATTTAAGCCAGTTGTATCAAGAAAACTGTGTCGGAAAAACGTCGAACAATAAATTTATCGAATGGATGTGAAACTCGAATTTTATTTTTTATGTTATTAGCGCTTTATTTCTCCATTTACCTTTATTTTATTTGTACTTTCGCTTTCTTCGTCCATATATCGCATAAGTTTGTATTTGTTACATTTGTTGTATTAAGAGACATATCAAGTTTTAATCATAGGGACTGGAATTTAGGAACGGAAATAATTTCAAAATTAAAGAGTCAATCATGTCCATTTGTTGTAACCGCCGGGTCGTACTCCAAATTGGAAAGGAACAGACAGGAGTTAAATAAAATTTTATGTGCAACATTAGATTTAATATCAATCGAAAATAAATTTAGTTCTCTTAGGGCATATAGGAATTTGGAGGACGATGATCGTAATAAATTTCTAATTTATCTTTAAAAGTTTAAGTGATTTATTCAAGCCATATAATCAACCGGTTAATGATAATATACTGGCGTCCTTGGTAGAAATCTTACGAGACTGAATTTTTGAAGAAACATGTTATTAATATAAAAGACCTAAAAATATACATCATAGATCATTTTTTGAAGAGGTTGTCAAGAGGTTTTGAAGAGGTCAAACTAATTATGGTTTGAATGCAACTATAATGTAGAAAATTCTAACACTCCTTTACAGAATAAGTTTCAGATAAAAATTAAATAAATTATTTTGCCTTGCCGGATCACACCGTATACAACTATAATATCAGTATGGTAACATCAGTATAACAATAACACAAAAAAATATATACGACTTGGTGGACTTATACATATTAATTTATTTCCATGAATAAATTGTAAATTTTTTTTTTAAATAAAGAATTTACTGAGTTAGAATAACATATTTTCGCGGTAATTGTACCTAAATTATCCTCATACCTAAATCAGCCTCAGGCTAATAATAAAATTTGTCGTACAACAATCTTTTCGAATACGTTGATTAGTTAACAAACAGAATATTTCTAGGATTGCTCCGTGTACGTCAATCAATGTATCCGAAAAGTTTGTCGTACGATTCATGTAATATTAGCCTTAGCTGTAGGCTTTACTATTATGTCTTAAGCCAGCGGCACACGGTGCTTGTTTTCGTGCTGGATTGCTTGCTAAATGAAAATACTGCGTTCTGATTGGTACATTTCCGAAGATGAATGGAAATGCACTAATCAGAATGCAGTATTTTCATCCAGCAAGCAATCCAGCACGAAAACAAGCACCGTGTGCCGCTGGCTTAAGACATAATAGTAAAGCCTACAGCTAAGGTGTTTTGCTGTAGGCTTACGCATTACAGCATGTGTTTCTTTTGACTTTATATTCGTATAAGTCCTGAAAGTATTAAAATAATTATATGAAAATAACATATTTATTATTTACCCTAACAGCCGTTTGCCAACAGCAGAATCTCACAGCAGATCCATAGCTTACTATGTCCGCATTAAGCTCATGTTCTGTGGACAGAAACTGTGTCCGACCAGAGAGAATAAGCCTGGTCGAAAGCAGTCTACAGAACACGAGCTTAATGCGGACACAGTAGACTGTGGATCTGCTGTGGGATTCTGCTTTTGCGGGTTTGGCTATCTGGGTTAATACCATTCTGCAAACAAATCAATTAACTTACTTTCTTGATTTAACAAATGTATCTAAGAATTTTATATTTTCATATAATAAGAATTTGCATCGATTTGTTACTGCTCCACTGTCATTTCGCTCTTTTGACAGTCTAGCTTTTTTTTCACGAGGAAATTTCTCTCGCAACCTTTGCCATCTGTTCCTACAATCTTCAACTAAAAAAAAAAATAAATTAATACAGGACACGAAACTATAAGAATATTCTATATTAATAATTATAAAGTACATTATATAATAAGATATTACCTGATAATTTTAAAATAGAAGAAATTTCCATCCATGCACGTTCTTTATTGTTTACATTTTTAAAATCTGCCATACTTTTATCGAAAATATATGGGTAATTTTTAATAATATCTATCAGAAGTGTATCAATGTCTTCTTCTTGATATTCATACGCGATACTTTCCTCTAATTCATCTTCGAACTCCATTGTCGTACTTTAAAATATTTTTAACCTTTATAATATTAACCTCACTGATGTCATAAGCTCGAAAATCTATTGACCACAAATATGAAAAAGAATCTTATCCTGTACCTGTTATTCTGATTGGCTCTGCATATAGCATAACCATAGCATATAGCATAACCATAGAAATTTCAACGTTATGAAATTTTTCAACGCTACACATGTGCTATGTTTACGAGCTGTGCAACAACATGGCGTTCTTATGTAAGACATAAGATTGGTCAATTCTTACGATACGTTTATGGTTACGGTTATGCAAGTTTGTCTGGATAGGCCTTTTAGACTTCATTTTCTCGAAAAGTGGAAGGGATAGTATTGGTACGAACGAAAATCTCTAGACGATATAATTTTAATTTCTGTAGATTAGTAACACTGTTTAAGTAGTAAGTCTGTTAGTTTGTGAAACCTTTTTGACAGATGTGGGTGCATGTAAACAATAAATATCGAAGAATTGTAATTCCTCATAAATATTAATATAAATTACATAATGTGGCATCAAATTAAAATAAAAATATATTAAAATGACGCGAATAGGTGGAAATGTGGAGTGCATGGAGAGAAACGAGGTAAAAGTAATTATAATGTGTGAATATATATATTTATAAATTAATAGATTATTATTGTATACAATTGTATAATTGTAATGTGTGTTTAAATTTTGATACATCATAATATCATTCATGTTTATGGCATAATTCTTTGCAGAGGAGTCATTTTGCCAACATCGTTAACTATGAAATGAAATCTGTGCAAGATTAAAGAGGAGTTTACACAAGGAAAATAGCAGAAAAACAAATGGATGATAAACAAATATCAGATAAGAGTTAATATTCATATATATATGTGTTTACATATAATAAAAGATTAATTATGTACGTGCTGTCGGTGTGACTGTGGATATTGTCGGACCGATTCTTTCCTTTCATTTATTCTCTTGCTTCAGCTTCGCAGCAAACCATGTGCTTGCAGAACATTTATAGCCGGAGAACAATCTGCGGGGCAAAATTGTCAGTGTGTGCCTTGATGCGCATCACTCATGCAGCATCGTTCTTTGCACTGGAATCAATGTGCCATCATCGTCAGCTGTGGAATAAAGTTTATACAACATAAAACAAGAAACACATAAAAAAGTAAAGGAACAAATATCAGATAAGTAACTTATATTTATATAAAATAAAGTATTAAGCACCTATGTGCTGAAAGTAATTGCACATGTTATCGGGTTGATCGTTGCTTTATAATCAATTTTATTATTTTAGCCTCCTAGTTAACCATGTGCTGGTGAAGGAAAACTTGAAATTATATCTAACATGGAATATAAGAATATATCTGTTACCAGCAGTGCAACGACTGATTGACGTAACAAACCAAAAGCAAGTTCGTAAAATATATTTATCATCTTACTTTAATTGATGCCTTCAACAGGCTTTCTCGGTGTTTATTACGCTTGTACTCTGTTGTCTGTTGATTTTGGTTTCTTTTAACAAAGTGGATATGTTACCTATATTCGCATATGTCAAAATTTTATTATTGTGATTTCAGATTGTGGTTTCAGAAACGGAGAGCGTTTCTAAAACATCGAGGATGGATGCTTTAACATTTTTTTAGCAAGATGAAAAATCATATATTGAAAATGGAAGATGCAACAGCCGTGAGAAATCAAGGAGTAAAAAAAATGAAACATCAAGAATTATGAAAAGGAGAACAGATACTATAAATATATCTATATATTTATTTCTCTTTTTCTTCTTATTATCAAACTTAATTCTGATAACGAATGTAATACTAACAACAAATCTATATCTTCAATATTTTTTAATTTGTTCCAAATATGTTGCAAATAAATTAATTGCCTGTAAATAATTTTCGCGCTTTATCATGATATTGTTTTTGCCGATTGTCATTTTACTTTTCGCCGATTGTCATTTTATTTTTTCGAATTGTCATTTTACATTCTTGTACTAAAAAGTAATACATGTGGCAATATTATTTACGTCATTGTAAGTGCAATAAACTTTTCTTTATAATGGAAAAGAAGTGCAATATTGCAAAGATTCAAACGCCAAAAGTAGAACATGATGAGTATCATTTTCACCATAATAAATCCTGCAGAAATACAAAGTAAGGAAATATATTAGAGTTATTAGATTAGAGAGTTATATTAGATATATTAGAGAAAACTTAATTAGTGATAGCTGTCTAACATTTTAAGTAATCATAATAATTTTCTGGCAGATATTATGAATGTAGCTTCCGGAAAGACAAAATTATTAAATATAATGCACGCTTGTAAATTGTGGATGGAAGTTATATTTTAACTGGGACATACAAGAATCACGACAGACCAACATTTCCATTGTCGGAAATAAAAAAAGAAATTGAGGCGTCCCGGTTATATGAATTAACGAGAGAAATAAAACAAAGAATAATTTCGAAGTGAGTGAAAATGAGTAAGATAAAAAATACTAAATATTGTTATGAAAAGGAATATTTATTAATTTAGATTGGTAATTTTTACATGAACACTTAGATATGACCATTTACTTAATTTGACAAATGTAAAAAATGTAGAACTATCCATCCATCGTTTTAAAAAGAGGAAATGTTTTGGACGGATCCTAGAAGATCTAAATGATCTGGATAACTGTTTAGAAGATGGAAACTGGAAAAAATTAATACAAATAGATCCTCAAATTCATTTATTGTTGACGTTGTCAATAAAAATAACAATATCAAAGCCGTCATTTTTATTGACAAATTATTACAGTCACTTATAAGTGACAATGGGAAAGTTGTAATTTTTGTAGATGGAACATTTACTATAATTCCTCAACTGAAGAATAATAATTGTCAGCTGTGGACAATTGTCATTAGACACAAGAATAGAGTAAATAAAATAATCTATTATTTTGTTTATGAAGTAATTATTCTCTTTAATAGCAAAAGACTTCTGCATATACAGGGTGTCTCAGAACTTTGGGACACGGACTCCGTAGGAATATAGAGCTAAGTGAGAGGAACAAAAAAGTCCTGTGACATAATGTGAAAATCGTAATAGTTTTTTAATTATAACAGCGCAAAGTTAGGCGCCCAGCGCAACCTATAGACGCTCCGCGGCAAGCTGTGTGCGTAGGTGCTGAACGATAACGCAGCTCGCGTTGACTGTCGCGCGGCGTGAAAGCGCTAAGACGCCCTCGTGACAGTCAATGCGAGACGCGTTATCGTGCTGACTGTCTCCTTCTGATCCCACTAAATACAGAGCATTGCCTTCTTTCCGTGGATATTTTGCTTTGGCGTTGATGTCGAAGGTTAGCTGGGATCGTAAATAGTTTTTCGATGTTTGGGATTGTCAAAATAAATTCATTTTTCATCCCCCCTCCCCCAAGTGATGATACGATGTAAAAACCCCTTTCTTCGTTGCCTAGCAAGCAGAATTTTGCAGGTGGTTTTTCGCCTTTCAATGTCTCTTAGCTTCAGTTCATATGGGGCTTATTTCACTTCCTTGTAAACCTTTCCTAAGGGTTTAAAACAGATCGGAAATAATAGATTGAACACAATTTAATGCTTCTGCAAGTTACTTTTGCGTTTGACATGGGCCTTCGTCTACGAATGCCTGCAATTCTTCGTCTTCGAATACTCTTGGCAGTCTAGAACGCTCTTTGTTCTTTACGTCAAAATCACCAATTTTAAAGCGTCGAAACCATTCTCTGCATGTTTTATCGGAAGGAGCATTATCACCATAAACTTCTACAAGCATTCGATGAGCTTCAGCTGCAGTTTTCTTCCAATTGAAGCAAAAGATTAACACTTCGCGCAAATGACGCTTATTTGGCTTAAATTTTGACATTTTCGTTGCAGTGAAAAACAATGTTATTGATGCAAACGCATACCTTTATGTACTGAATGTTATTGACAGATGTCAAAACAAACTATTAAGCTTCGTTTAGACATTACAGGTTAACGACAATTCTAGCTATAGCTACTTGTCGCTAAACGGACGGAACTTTCCGATTTACCTAATAGTAATACTGTAAAGTTATAAAATACTTTTACGAAAAAAGACGTTCAAATTTGAGTATATTGAGAGTAAATTCGAATAATTGAGTGTAAACACTCAATACTTGAATGTTTCTTCCAAAAGAGTTAGTTTTATATTAGTTAATCTAATATTAGATTTGAAATGTTATCGTTAGATTTGAGATGTTATGTTTGTTAATCATTTTTACCTCCCGAAGATGTAAACGATTCAGTTTTCTGTGATGTATTCACATCTTTTAGTTCGGACTTTCTTGCCTTTATTCTAAAATTTTACAACTGCTATATCTTGAAAACTAAACATTTTAGAAAAAATGGTTTAGACAAAAGTTGTATAGTTTCAAGGGAGACATAGAATAACTATATCATATTGTTTACAGATGATGCCACTTTCGAGATATTCACTGATTATTACTTTTTTTAAATGGAAATCTTATTTTTTTATTATATTTTCTTTTTCTATCAATTAATTTGGACAACTTTTATCTGAAACATTTTTTTATTTGTCTAATATTTTTTGAAATATTTAAAGAAAACTTGGTAACTTTTTCAATATTTAACTTACGATATCTCGCTAATTATTTGTTGAAAGAAAAAATAGTGTTAGATGTTTTACTCTATTTACTCTTTTTTTGTCTGAAACGTTTCTTAATATCTTTCATATTTTTCGAGATTTTTGCCTGACTCATTTAAAATGGGATACCCTATATTATCCTTGAAATATTTTATTTATACTCCAATGCGATGTATAACGTTTAAAGTAGCAAGTGACTTTAAATAACGTTTCAATAACATTTCTAATGTCCATAAGGCATAACAAAAACGTCATTTGACATCATCTTGCTATTTGAGATGGGATATATCGCAATACAATATTGCAATAATCTTTTAATGTTACATATAAACGTAATATATGATTCACTATTATTATAATATTTCAACATCATATAGGGTGTCTTAAAAATACCGAAACTCCCGGATAACTTTGCAGGATCAAGTTTCCACGAAAAACTTTAAATATAAAAGTTGTAGAAAATCGAGTAACGGACTTGATAGTGATCTTGAATTTAACCTTGGTCATGAACTTCAAGATCATTTGGAGGTCAACTTGCGCTTTTTAAATGGGAACTCTTGTTTTTTATTACACTGTTTTTTCTACCAATTAATTTGAACAACTGTTGTCTAAAACATTTTTTTATTTGCCTAATATTTTTTGAGATATTTGTGGAAAACTTGATAACTTTTTCAATATTTAACTTACGATATCTCGCTATTTATCGGAAGAAAAAGTGGTACTCGACTTTCTTGCTTTATTTAGTCTCAAGATATATTGTTACAATAGCGCCCTGACTTTTATTAACTTACTGACTTTTGGAAGTTTCAAAATCATCAAATTAACAAAAATCAAGGCACTATATACTAATAATATATTCTTGAGACTAAATAAAGCAAGAAAGTCTAGTACCATTTTTTCTTCCGACAAATAGTTAGTAAGATATCGTAAGTTAAGTATTGAAAAAGTTATCAAGTTTTCCTCAAGTATCTCAAAAAATATTAGGCAAATAAAAAATTGTTTTAGACAAAAGTTATTCAAATTAATTGGTAGAAAAAAGCAGTGTAATAAAAAAGAAAAGTTCCCATTTAAAAAACGCAAATTGACCTCCAAATGACTTTGAAGATCATGGCCAAGGTCAAATTCAAGGTCACCATCAAGTCCGTTACTCGATTTTCTACAACTTTTGTATTTAAAGTTTTTCATGAAAACTTGATCCTGCAAAGTTATCCGGGGATTCCGGTATTATTAAGACAGCCCGTATATACACACGTGTAGGTATATAGTATGTATATATATATATATATACACACTATATACCATATAGGGTATATATAAATACATATATATATATATATATGTATTTTCAACGCATCTCCTGCATCATTCGACGGCACACGCACACAATCCATGCGCACACATCAACACTGCGTCTGGTCACTCTCATCGTCCAAGTCGCCATACTTGATGAGCACCTGCGCATGATTGTTGTTACGTGATTACTGATCCGACTGATGGCGATCATCTGCATGGCTTGGTATTGTTGTTCCTGATGCTGAGCCAACTTCTGGTCAGTCTACTTGCAGTCTTCCTGCGGCATCGACGATGCGGCTGGTTGATAGTCACACCTTCTCCTCTCCCGTCATCGGACCTGCGGTCGAACGGATAAATTGAAACAGTTAACGTTCCACAATGGACTAGACTTGGGCACGCTGCTATCACTGGCACGATACGGATGAATTATGTCTATATAACATGTTACATATATACATACACATATATATATATATATATATGTATATGTATATATCTGTATGTATGTATATATATATATATATTATTTTTCGTTATAGGTTATAATAATTTTTTCAAATTAACTAATATAACCAGTAAGAATAAGGTACAGTAAGAATAAATAATAATCTTCCTAAAAGAAGATTAAATAATCTGTGTATAAGAGGAAATTTATATTAAAATCAATAAGATTTGCATTATACATGTATAACATATAATCCCTCTAATTTTAAGAATAATATGTTTATAATATTTTCCTTTTAATCTTAGAGGAATCCTCTTGAGGCCATATATTAGAACAAAACCCTCTAAAATTTAGATAATTCCTTTTGTTCTGAAATTACTTTTTTTGGGTGTTGCAAGCAAAATAAATACTAGCGGAGAGCTGTCGATTATCGGCTTCATCGCGTGGAAGCGTTTGGGTGAGAGATTGTTGGTTCAGTCGTTCGCATAAAGAGAAAATGAAGAATAACAGGTTAGCAAAAGCAACACAGACGACGAGATAGAATAGGCAGGAGCCGGGAGGCTCGTCAATTAATCCCGTGATTTTAGAGATAACGAATTCAATTTGTAGAGAATGCATCTCCGCCGTATTCCTTTTGATCCATCCGTTCTCGACCGGGTTTTATTCCCCAACGGCAGTTTTCTCTCGCGTGAGAAAGTAAGCGGGAAAGCTGGGTGGCGTTTAAAATCGATCCTCGGCCGCAAAAACCCGTCTCGAATATTTCGTCACTATCACATACCGAAACAGTCGTGGTCGT